ACTATCTCTACCACTATGTGGTTTGGACTGACAATTGCGTCTCTGTGCTAATATGGTATGGCAACCTAAACTGATATACGTACGTACGCACATACGAAGTTTTACGTTGTAACTGACTGACTAATATCGTTGTCCTAATTGTATTTCAAACTCTAAGATTGAATCTAAATATCGTTTTCTAAGAAAAAATGACCGGTCAATATAGATTATATTCAACTAGACTAAATTATCTTTACTTCGTAAATTTACGTGTTTGTATTCATCAATCTGTCGTCTTTATTTCTTATAAAATTGAATGTATTCAAATTTGCATCCGTGTTACACGTAATGCGATTATTACGATTCTAATATTTTCCAAAATGATAACATACTATTCCTCATCAATTTATTTTATATGTATTTAAAAATTGTATATTCAATAATAATTCAACTTTTTCTTTGATCAGACGATAAACCTAAGTCTATATGGGTTGAAGCAATTAATTGTGATACTTCTTGTCCTGTGCAAATCACATATTCAGATGAAAAAACTATTGGAAGTGGTTCTTTTGGTATTGTTTACGTTGCAACTTTATCAGATGATCGTAAAGTAGCAATTAAAAAAGTTCTACAAGATAAGCGGTATAAAGTTAGTGTTTTTTTAATTTTCTAACTAAATTTTCTTTCATATTATAGAATCGTGAATTGCATATACTTCGTAAATTAAAACATTGTAATATTGTTTCTTTGTATTATTATTTTTATTCATCATCATCTACTGTAAGTTCGAATAGATTGATTTATTGTTTTAACAGAAACCAAATGATACTTATTTAAATTTAATACAAGAATATATTCCTCAAACATTAAGTCGCCTTATCAAACATTATTGGCGTATTCGGCAAACAATTCCACTTGTATATGTTAAGGTAAGAAGTGATTATTTATGAATTTATGAATTTGTGTCTGGATTATTGCTGAATTTCTGAACTCTAAATAATCTAGTCATATAATTCAAAGATTCACATTGCACTAGCGTATGCTTATTCGACGCGGTTGCCTTTCTTTTGAATTATATCACCTCTTCAATGATATATTAGGATTATGAATAGCATACTTAAGCTATGTCCAAACTACCGAACTGATGTAGGTTCACTCGTTCATTTAAATCATGAGCCCTATTGTTATCAAATGGATCACTTTATCCCAACATTAATTTTGACACTTTAAAATTTTGCATAATAAACTCGTAAAAACAGCAAATTGTTAAAAAATAATAGCAACCTTGATCACAAACTGTCAGAAAGACCAAGTTTTACAACTTAAGAGCAAAAACTTTCCACATCGACAGGGTGTGCACTCACGTTATGTACTAGCAAGATATCATCCCATCGTCTCAAGAGATGTTTCAAATTAGTATGTTTATTGTACACTAGACATGTTGATCACAGTCTTCGTCACCTTTAGCAGCACTTACAGTTACTCAGACGTCCAGGCCTCTATGACTTCTGGTGAGAAGTGTGGACGTAGATTTCCCCCCTAGCCTTTGATGAGTGCTTTGCATTTCTATGGTGTCAAGTTCGTGTCGTGATTGCCAACAAAGTAATTACGATCTAGGTATCGTCTTTATTGCTGCAAAGTAAGTTTTCGTTCAGTACCACAGATGTCCACCATAATCACGTACTCCGGAGCTATTTCCAGTATACTATCGATGACAAAATTGCAATTAGTTAACCCTGTTATTAAGAAAGTGACTCAGTAGTTAAAGCAACTAACTTTCAACTGATTGGTCACAGGCTTGAATTTCATATTCAGTATTGCTAAACCTCGCACAACACAAAGTGGCTCAAATTCGGCTGCATGTGCTTAATAACCAGGTGAAATAAGTAATGCGGTTTACACTTCGTACGAAGTGGTTTTGTCCATGACTAAGGTATTAAAAAACTTCTCAAATAAATAGTTAAAGGAATTCGGTTCCTTGAGATAGATGTTTCGCTTGCAAAATCCAATGATTATCGACTGACGATATGATGGCTCTCAAGCCTTTAACTCAAGATAAAAACGTAATGAGCGCACTCGCAATTTGAATGAAGATCAATCTGCTTCTTACAAACCGGTCGCTAATTTCTCACAACTAGTATGACAAAAGTGTGATAAGCGGTAAACTTAAGCCTTAGATTTATTTCATGCGTTTCATATATCATTCGTATGGAAGCGCACAACAATCACAACATCTTCAAATAACCTGTTTGCTTCTTTCACCAGGCCTTTTGAAAAGCTCAGCTAACACTATGAAAACTTTCCATAAAAATGCCGTGCTTAACCGGCCTCAAGCAGTTGTACCTTGGGCTCTGCAGTTACGCTTCCAGGTCTGTGAGACCAACGCTAATCCAACTTACTTTTCAGGTTCCTCAAGAAATACCCTTCCACGGCGTGAGCAACCGGGAGGTAAAATCTTCTATATTTGTACCAACACACGAGACCAAGTTGGTCAGTCAAATCATCCCACACCTCCTGATTACTCTCTATTAACCCTTCTCACGTTCGTTTATCACCTTTTGCTGATGCTGCTAATGATTCAAGTACACGAAACGTCATTCTTAGTCTCCTGAAACTACGCTCTAAACTACTTGTTGTGGCTCGTAATGTCCGCCCCTTGTGCCAAACAAGACAATAGGCTTCCTTAGCAAGGAATTTAAAATCCCGTGCCATCAATGTGCTCTGCGTCTCCGTACTAGTGTGTGATGGAATCTGGGCACGGATACAGAAAGATCGACTGGCTTTTGCCAACTTGCGTCACCTATAACGTAGGTGAGATATCCGTCTACTAACCAAATGACAAGTTTACTGCGCAGCAGTCCGCTCCGTTCTAATTAACGGTTGTGAAACATTACCAGTAAAAGTAGAGGACGTTCTTAGGCTTCTATGTCTTTGAATCACTGTTCGTATATTCTGAGACCATCAAGAAAGCACTGCTGTTGTTAGGAAATGTATACCAGGTTGGAATGGCAAATCAACAGATAACGTATTCAAACTTCGTCAGTTGAGGTCGTTGAAACCTGTGTTATGAATGCCTAACCACCGACTGCCTCGTCCAGCTATGTTTTGTGGTGTAGGAGTAGGTCCGAAGTAAGCTAAGGGCGGCTATGCCAAAATATGGCACAAATCCATGAAGTCACTGACAACTGGACTGAATCATGTTGATAGGTGTACACTACCAGGTTGGGGTCCGCGAGGCAATAGTAACTGATGGTTAGAGACTTTGAATAACATGGTTCAAAATCATTTGTAGCGGCGCAGATGCACCCGCTCCTATTGCGTAGACTTCCAAATCATTAGCATCCACACAGTTCTCCGATCGCCCCAGCTTGTCGACTATGTTTAACAACTTGTCATTCAAGAAGAGGCTAACTACTAACTGGCAGTTTTGACAGAGTAATTCAAACTTGATATTTGCATAGTTTATACCTCACTCCATTTTGTCTATTGACCAACGAGCTCAACTATGAAAGTAGTGTCCTGACGAGTACTGGTCACATTTTTTTTCGAGTGTGTTTCATTTCAGTTACTCATGATCTGGCTCATGTCCCTACCTTTGGCCTAACATTAGATCCATATTGTTAAATATAGAAACGGCATGTTAATCTGGGAAAATGTGCACCTGTTCCAAGCTCTACGTTGTTGTCAACCGACTAATTTCCACATGGTTTAATTCCAAATCATTTGATTAATTTTATAATGACAATTTATATTGCTGATTATTATTATTATTATTATTATTATTATTATTATTATTATTATTAAATAGTTGTATAGTTTCCAACTTCTACGTGGATTAGCTTATATTCACAATCAAGGCGTATGTCATCGTGATATAAAGCCACAAAATTTGTTAATTGATTCGGATCAAGGCTTATTAAAAATATGTGATTTCGGAAGGTAAGCAACAGAAAACAAATTACATCTTTATTGTTCTCAGCATTGTCACTACTGAATTAAGCCTTTGAAAATAAATTTTATCTAATAATGAACTGTTATTAAAATTAACAATATCTGTGTCTTCTATCCAATCATTCATTTGTTCGAACCCCACGAATTAGCTATAATAAATTCATCATAAACATTCTCTTGTGTTGTTGGGATTGAAACATTTAGGCTATTGTTTCAGAGATATTTTAGTGAGAATTGTTATTTAGACAAAAGTCAAGATAACCTTCCTACATATCCTCTTGACATGTCTCAAATAAAACAAGACTCACGTCCCCAATTCCGTTACTAGCCACTATCTAACTTCAATAACACGTGTTATAGATGATCAAAGAGCTCAGTTGGGTCATCAGTATATATTCGAGGTTAGCTACCATGTCACTCTGAAAAGCTATGAGTCGTTATTGCCATCAAACGTCAGCAATGTTATCGATTCATCTATCAAATGGGGGTTAGAGAATATAACATTTTTGCGCATAGTATCACTTAACCAGATCTCATTGTCTAACAAGAAATCGAATTCACAAACACATTCGAATTGATAAACACTCACTGCTTATCTGCATTTTGCATCCATCGTCCTATTATCAAAATTAATCCAAGTTGATCGATTCGATTAGTAAATTTGATACTCTTCAATTGATCGAATTTTAGGTATAAATTTAACATCAGGCAGATTTTTTTTTTCTGTCTATTCAATTAAATATTGATGATGATATATTATGAAATGTTGTAAGTTTTTTTATTTGCATAAATCTAGACAAATTCTTTTACTTGACCCCAATGGATAACTCACTGTTAAAAGTCATGTGGATTTCAGAAAGTTAGAATTCGAGAGAAGTCAAAGAATGGATGCATCTGCATCATTGCAAAAGATTTTAAGCAATGTCATTCAAAGTCTCTAACCGTCGATTACCAACCCGGTAGTCTACACCTACATACATAGATCAGTCCTTTTGGTAGTGACTTTATGGATTTGTGCTGTGTTTTGGTTTGGCCAACCCTATCTTTCATCCAGCCTAAATGAGGCAACATCGCACGTTGGGGAAGTCGGTGGTTGAGCGTATGGAACACATGTCCCGACGACCTCAACTGATGAAGCTTCAATACTTCATCTATTGACCTTCCATCCTTACCTAGCACCCTTTTCCTTATACTAGCATTGCTTACTCGATAATCCCAGAACATACGAGCAACGGTTCTATGATCGAAAACCGGTAATCTATGAATATCTTCTACTCTGACTGGCGCAAGTGCATCCATTGATTGTGCTCTCTCAAATTCTAATCTTCCGGATTCGTCAGCACCTCTACCTTTGTCTTTCTAACCTTATCTCATTGAATTATACTTCTTGAATGATATCTTCAAACCCTAGTCTTCTTCATTACCATTAATACCTCTACTATCTTTATCACTATGGGATTTGATTTGACATTTGCGTCTCTGTGGTAATGTGGTATGGAAACATGAACTTATGTACATACGTACGAAGTTCTACGTTGCAACTGACTGACTCTGACTGGCCATGTTTCAAAGCCATAAAGTAGGATGGTGCAAACTGATGCTCAGTAGTGTATATATATAAGTCCTATACCAGGTCGAAACGGCCGTCCCCTGCTTCCAGGTTACTAATGGTCGTCTAACAAAGATTGATTCACGATTTCTATGCATAAAAACAATGATTTCCATAACTATAATTGAAAGTTATATATTTATATATAACATTGTCTTATCAAAAATAGTTTTTCTTATTGATTAAGTTACCTATATCAGTCATCGCTTTAAATCATCTGTGTAATATATATAAATCAAAATATATATATATAACTACAGTGTTTTATATTAAATCAAATCTGTCAGTGTCGAAATTTTCACAAAACCTTATTATTTCAGGTCATGTATATATGTTTGACATTTTAGGTTATAAGTAATTCGTCTGTTTTTCTTAAAACGGCAAGCTTTGAGCTTTATTTTAAATGTTAATGTAACGATGAATCCATCGGGAAAGCATAAAACATAAAAGAGGTTTAATGCAAAGCAGATATTCAACTGTTTGACTGGGTTTTTGTTGTTGCTATTGAACATTACTATTGTAAGACGTCAGTCAGTCAGTCAGTCAGTTACAACGCAGAACTTCGTACATACGTATATCAGTTCAAGTTGCCATACCACATCAGCACGGAGAGACGTAACTGTCAGTTCAAATCCCATAGTGGTAGAGATAATGGAAGTATTAGCGGTAATGGAAAAGATTCGGGCTTGAACATTTTATTCGAGAAGTATAATTCAGTAAGATAAATTTAGAAAGAGAAAGTTAGAGAGATAATGAGGAATTCAGAAGATTGTAAGATAAATAAAAAAAATCAAATCAAATAATTTGTATACTTTTTTTGGCAAATCCCATATGATGATATTCTTAATCAACTTTTTTTGTGATGTTTTTTAGTGCTAAAATATTAAATCCTGCAGAACCAAATGTTTCCTATATTTGTTCACGGTATTATCGTGCACCAGAGTTAATATTCGGAGCTACTCATTACACTGTACAAATTGGTAAGTAATATTTATTTATTTATTTTCCTGTTAATTCTAGCTTCTTAATACTTTTCATGGTGTCTCATCAGTGCTGACAGCCTGGTGTCTGACGCAATCCAATCACGGACACAAACGGCTCGATTGGCTTTTGCCAACTTGCGTCACCTATGGCGTAGGCGAGATACCCGTTTGTTAACTAAAGGTCGAGTGTACTGTGCAGCAGTTCACTCCGTCCTACTATATGGATGAGAAACATGGCCAGTCAGAGTAGAGGATATTCTCTAGGTTACTGATTTTCCAAAGCATTGCTCGTGTATCGTGGGACAACTGAGTAAGCAATGCTGTCGTTAGGAAATGCGTCCTAGGTAAGGATGGCAGATCAATAAATGAAGTAATGAAACTTCATCAGTTGAGATGGTTGGGACATGTGTTACCTATGCCCGACCACCGACTACCTCGTCGATCTATGTTTTGCGATGTAAGAATAAGTTGGTGGAAAGCTAGGGGCGGTCAAATCAAAACATGACACAAATCTATGAAGTCACTGACAACTGGATTGAGTCGTGTTGGTAAGTGTAGACTATCGGGTTGGGGCCCACGAGATGATAATAATAGATGGTTAGAGACCCTGAATGACATAGCTCAAAACCGTTTGCAATGGTGCAGATGCATTCATTCCTTGTGTTCTCTCATATCCTATCCTGAAATCCTCATCACATATACATCTTTCTCTTTTTAGGTTTATTTCACTAGATTCTACTTCTTCGATAATATCTTTGAACCCTAATCTCTCAGATTACTGCCAATACTTTTCCTACCTTTACTACTATGGGATTTGATGTGACCATTGCATATCTGTGCTAGTGTGGTATGGCAACTTGAACTGATGTACCTGCGTACGAAGATCTACGTTGTAACTGACTGACATAAATGACAGTATCTTATTGTCTCCTGCCTAAAGTATGAAGCGTTACTGACTTACCTACACCTCTAAACCCCCCAACGGAGCATAGACCGCCGCCAGCATTCTCCAACCTACTGTGTCCTTGGCCTTACTTCCTAGTTCTCTCCAATTATTGTTCATTCTTCTCATATCCGTCCCCATTATGAAGCGTTCTTTCTCCAGAAATTGTACCTCATGGAACTTTATTGTTTTTTCCTAGGTACATCATTTCGGTATAAATACTGTGAACTGCCCATCTGTACTAATGTTTTTATCAGCAACGTAAACAATTGATTACTTGATTTGGTGGACGTCAGAAACTCTTTCCTCAAAGTTATCTAGTCAAGAGTTGTCATTACCTAGAGCTTCTCATTTATGAACAGTTTACATTCATCATATCCAAATGATGAGTCCCAAATAAAAACGACGTGCAAGTCCTGAATTCTTTCATTGCTACATAAAAGCCATCTATTCTATAATAACTTTTAACAATATGGCTATTTTGAAACAAACCTGCATATGAAGCGCATATATCAACAATCAAGATTAGTAAATTTCTAGTAATTATATTTATATTTATATAAATATTGTCCTGTTCTTGTCTTTGTTTATTTAGATATGTGGTCAGCTGGTTGTGTAATTGGTGAGCTTTTATTAGGTCGACCACTTTTTCCAGGTGAATCAGGAGTTGATCAATTAGTTGAAATTATTAAAGTTCTTGGTACACCAACACGTGAACAAATTCATGACATGAATCCTAATTATAGTGCATTCAATTTTCCAACTGTTCAAGGATGTTCTTGGGAAAAAGTAAGAGTCTAGTGTTGTAATAACTATGATTGTTGTTGTTTGTTTATGAGTTTTCAACATTCTTATATGTGTTACGCGATCGTAGGTAGTTGACGCGTTCCATCCCATTTGGTACTCTTCGAAGAAGTGTATCTGCCATCTTGCGAGAGCTAGTGTTATGCTGGAGTTTGGACGTGCGTCACTCATCCTCATAGTCTAGTCATTGTCACTGATCTGTTCGGGAAGCGACCAGTCTGACTTCGTTTTAACTGATAAATGGATGGCAGATGAAAAGATTGTAACTAAGCTAAAAGAAAAACCACCATATGACGGAATGACTTGTGTTTCATTTAGTCTCTAAATATGATAGTCCAGAATGATTATCAGTCAAATTAATGTATGTACTCGATTGATTATCGAAATCAGAAGTTGTTTGATCCGTGAATGATTGGTCTGGTTGTCAGAAGGGGTATCGGCCTCGTGAATTCTGATGAAACTCGACTCTGATCATGAAGCGTCATAACTGTTCTAAGTGAAGGAAGACTTCCCGACTCCCGGGGAAGAATTTAAATGGTTTGAATAATTTTTTCTGGTCAGATTTTTTCTGTCAGCTAGTTTTCTGCGGAATGGGGTTGCTAATCCTCCTTTATCAGGGCTTGGGACCGGTAGTAATCTGAGAGAGGCAGCAGTTGGAGTTACACTAGTTTCAATTTGTAGCTACTTTAGATGGTACGATATTTTGTTGTAGTCATAAAAGCATCAACTTCATCGACGTCTCTAAAATCCTAAAATCAATAGTGATTCATTGCTCCAATTGGGCTGGTTAACAGCAAACTCGTAGAAAATTATCTGAGTTTCAAGCTTTGATAATTATGTATTAAATCCTTATTTGTAAACTGACTGGTTGTATAGCCTGGGGGAATTTTTTATGATGGTGCTTCATTTTTAGAGGTGCTTCTGAATAAATTAATCATGTTTTAGTGTAAGCCAATTTGTAGAACCTTTTTTTGTAGAGATTTTTATGAGTTAATAATGATGACAACGTGTAGCATCGGTTGAGAAATTCCATTTTTTTGCCATGTGTGTTCATTCTTACGAAGAAAATATTAGGACTGACCTCTTGACTACAGACCTAATGACAATAGTACTTTGCACAAGTGAGACAGTTCTGCGAAGCGACGATACAGAATTTTAAAACAATTAGTCCCTTTTATAAATTTTGATAGAACAGTGAGAAGATGTAATTGATCTGAAAAATGTGATGTATTTGCGCTATACATTTCGAACAATCTGATCACACATATTTACTTGTCAAGGTATTTTATATGAAGATGAATAAAAGGTCAATTAAATGAAAGTTCAAATAGACATAAGGTGATAATTGTAAACAAAGGAGAGAATTCTCTGAATACCGCAAGTGGAAAATAGAAATGTCTTGATAATTCACGTAAACTTACCGGATGAAGGAATACTTTTTAAAACTGGTGTACAAATCTTAATACTGTAGAGTAATTTAGTTGGTCATTTAAACCATTCAGTCAGCCAGCTACAACGTAGAAGGCATCTTTATCAAGAGTGATTTGGTTGGAGGATGTAGTGTTGTATCGGAGAATCTTGCTTTTCCTTTTGTGTATGTTGAGACCTGCTGCTGCTGAGGCTTCTGCTACACTAGTCGTGTTTGCTTGCATTTGTTGTTGCGTGTGCGATAGAAGAGCCAGATCATCTGCGAAGTCTAGATCGTCCACCTGCATCCTAGCTATCCACTGTATTACCGTGCTTCGCTCCAGATGTTGACATCTTCATAATCCAGTCGATATCCACGGTTATCTAGCCAAAATAAGTTTGTGATTTAACAATCTGTAGAAACTACTCACCTTTACTTTCTTCTACTTTTGTCTTTTTGCAACGTATGCTGTGTCTGACACATCTTGGACATCCAAGTTTTTTGTTTCTCAAGGTTTCATTTATTGACGAAACTTTCTGTTTAAGTATAAACAACAATACTCAATTGATTCTAGACTGTGAAATAAAAATATTGAAGCAGTCAGCCGCAAAAACACAAATAATAATGTGTTTTGTTTTAATTCACTGTCTAATGGGATCCGTGTACAACAACACAACCGTATAAAATTTCACATTCTTTTTTTGTTTATTCACATTTCAGTTTATTCGTAATCGTAATGCTGATACAGCTGCATTTTATGTACTTGGAAAATTACTTGTCTACAGTCCAAAAATTCGTATGACCGCTTGTAATATTTTAAGTTGTTGTTTTTTCAATGATCTCATCCTACCACCACCTGGTCATCCAGTCGATGCAACAGGTCATCTACCGAATGGTAAATCAGCGCCAAATTTTGTGAATCAATTTACTGAACAAGGTAAAAATAGTAGTTTTCAAAGAAATTAGTAGATCACTGTTATTTTATCACTAATAAGAGTGTGTGTGTGTGTGTGTGTCAGAAGGCATTTTTTTGAATCCCATTTTCCTCAAAATGGATGAGTACGGAACCCCTCATAAATGGACGTTTACGACCCAACCACATAGGACCAAGCCTAGTATTTTCAGATTTAATTGGCTACCAACTAAGTGGTCTGATGTGGTGACTTAGCTTTTGTCGCAAGATCTGTTGCTCCTAGACTTTAAAATTTTGATGGATCCGTGAGTGTTGTTCACATTTTCTATTGAGTCAGATACACTTGAATAGAGCAACCATTCAATCCGACCTTGTTCTCAATGGTTGTCTAGCTGCAATCAGTTCCTGATGTAAAATTATGACCCTTGTTTATTGTTCAACCTTTTGATTTGTTTGTAAAGTTTCACAGTATGAAAAGAATGACAGAATGCACTACAATTTACAGACATAATCATATTGATTAAGAAAAGAGAGACATAAATAAAAAAGAACTAAGCTACATTATATTGTGACAAAAGACATGACTTGTAATTTGTCTTGCCTCTGAAATATTGTAATGATTGATGATATAGGATGATTAGTAATTTGTTTTAAGGTATTATAAGATGCTTGTAAAATGCAGAACTAATAATGTCCATACTATTTCAAAGTTTTATAGCATTGTTAGCAGAATAAATACTCGTTTTTTTTGTCATAGATGAAATAATGTTTTAACACATTACAGGGTTGTGGAGATTGTTATGTTTCATTGAAATTGTAAATCGATCAATGTTCGACCACCACCAATAGAAACCTGGAAGCGCTGAATGCCTGGACACTGTTGGATGTCTGTTAAGTGGTCTAGAGGTTAAGCGTTCGGGTGCAAGACCGAAAGCCCTGGTTTCGATTCTCACTGGCAGGGTTGTGGATTCGCACTGCTTATGAGTCAGTCCTAAACTAGGACGAAACGGTCATCCAGTGTTTGCATGGTTTCTAACGGTGGTCTAAGATTGACCAATTCCTAATCTCAATGAAAATAATGTTTTATGTCTTGGGATACAAATACTTCACTTCTAATTTTGAAGTATGTGCTGATGAAGTTGTTGTTCAGAAGAACAATGAAACCTCCAAAACCAAAACATCTACCTTAGAGAATGAAACACCACCACAATGTAACACTTGTTTACTTGAAACAAAACAATTCATAACTCTAATTCATACATAATTAACCAATATTAGATACTTAGTCAACAACTTATGTACGCTATCATAGATTGCGTTAACTCAAATCAAAAACATGTAATTCGCCTGACTAGCACGTGTATTAATCAATACACCAGGTAATGAAGAAACCTACAATGCGTAAGAAAATAATGTAGTTGACAAACAGCAGATTATGTACCTCACTCAACAATGACTAAGTAAGTAATTCATGATATAGCCTGACTATTAGTTGCGTCCGGTTACTCACTGTCTCACATCCAATATGATTGAACTATACTGGTCAAGGCTTATTAATAAGCATTGTTTTCTAAAAGAAACAATATACACTAAGTCGATTGTACTTAACTACAACGTTTATATGTGTTCTAGAGTGGTTAAATCTTGAATTCACATCACTTTTATGTTCATTGTACTAGTCACCTGTTTAATATAGTGTTTACAGCTGTAATGTATGCGATCACGTTCTTTGTGGCATTTATGTTAGTCAGTCAGTCAGTCAGTTACGACGTAGAACTTCGTACGTAAGAACATAAGTTCAAGTTGTCATACCGCTTTCGCACAGAGGCGCAACTGTCAGTTCAAATCCCATAGTGGTAGAATTAGTAGAAGTATTACCAATAATGGAGAAGATTAGGGTTCGAAGATATTATTCAAGAAGTATAATTCAGTGAGATAAATTTATAAAGAGAAAAATACAGGTGATGAGGAATAAGAAAGATTCAGATTTGAGAGAACACAAAGAGTGGATGCACCTGTGCCGTTGTAAACGATTTTGAGCCATGTTACTTGAGGTCTCTAACCTTCAATTACTATCATCTCACAGAACCGAACCAGGTAGTCCACAATTACCAACATGACTCAGTCCACTTGTCGTCAGTGACTTCAAGGATTTCTACCATGTTTTTGTCTGTCCGCCCCAAGCTTTCGTCCAACCTACTACTACACTGCAAAAGATCACTGGTCGAGGCAGTCGGTGGTTGGGCATACGTAACACATGTCCCAACCACCTTAACTGATGAAATTTCAATACTTTGTTATATATGTTAGCAATAAGTAGTAGTAATAGTCTATTTTTAATACCAGATTATAACAACAAGAATTTGTAAACATTTGAATAAACTGATTAAACAAATGCACTATTTATTAAAATTACTTTAGTATGTATTACTTATTATAACGTCTATTCTATTTTTTAACTTAAAAAAAAATTTTGAAAATATTTATTGCCCTAACAGAATTATCATATCTTCCAAAAGAAATGACAGCTCGTTTACGAGCATTACGAGCTTCGAAAAGTCTGTCTGTTGTAAATCTTTCAATACCAGAGAATGGTGAATTAGATATGCGTAAAAAATCCAATTCATCCAAAGCAACCACACCATTGATTCTCAAATCTGAACGAGCAGTGAAACTTCGCAATTGCAAAACATCTTCCCATGACAATTTAACAACACAACGTCTATCGGTACAATTGTCAAAAGGAAGTCGAAAAGATCAAAGATCATCTGTGAATTTTCGAACTGGAACTATGCATCAAGCAAATGCTTTTCCTATTATGGCTTCGTCAGTTAATGAAAGTCGAACTAGCACTGCTACTACTACTACTACTACTACTACCACTTCCACTACTACTAAATGTTTTCGACGTCCATCACAAGATTCTATGCTTGCAGACAATGTAAAAACGAATCCTTTAAAAGTATCTCAACAATCCCTTTTATCTTCTATTTCATCAATTAATCCAATTTCAAGTAATGATCATAATAAAACTCTAGCCAATGGTGATAAAATTCGTGATAATCCTCCTCCTCCTCCTACTACTACTACGACACGTGAAAAATCTTTTCTAACGGATCATGCTTCTTAGAAAAGTTCAACACGATTAAATTGATCCGACTGGATGAACTAGGTAAGTTATTGAGATGTAAATCATTTTTGATGCAATGGTTTGAGATTATTCTTCTCCTGTCTTAGAGAAATCATCAACTACTAATCAGTGCGTAGACCACCATTAAAAACCTGTCAGTCCAGTCAACAACAACAACAACAACATAGAACTTCGTACGTGCGTACATTAGTACAAATTGCCATACCTGATTAGCCCAGAGATGCAACTGTCACTTCAAATCCCACAGGAGTAGTGGTAGTAAAAGTATTGTTAGTTATTGGAGGTATTAGGTTTCGACGATATTATTCAAGAAGTATTATGATCTAGTGAAAGAAACTTAAAAAGATAAATGTGATGAGGAACTCCGAAGGTTAGGATTTAAGAGTACACAATATGTGCACTTGCACCATTCCAAACGATTTTGCCCCATGTCGCTCAAGGTCTCTAACCATCGATTACTAACATCTCGCGGGCCCTAACCAAGTAGTCTACACCTACGAACATGCCTCAGTCCAGTTGTCAGTCACTTCATTTTATTTGAGCCGTGTTTTAGTCTGGCCGCCTCCAGCTTTCTTCGAGTCTACTCCTACACCACAAAACATGCCTAATCGAGGTATTCGGTGGTTGGGCTTGCGTAACACATATCCCAACCACCTCAACTGATGAAGTTTCAATACTTCATCTATTGATCTTCCTTCCTTACTTAGTACTCGCTTCCTAACGACAGTATTGCTTACTCGGTTGTCCCAGGATATACAAGTAATGCTCCGAAGATATCTTTAATCGAATACGAAAGTCCTCTTCTCTTAACGGCCATGTTTCGCAGCCATAAAGTAGGACGGGGCGAACCACTGTGCAGTACACTCGTCCTTTAGTCAGCAAACGGATATCTCGTCTGCGCCATAAGTGACGCAGGTTGGCAAAAGCCAATCGAGCCTTCTGTATCCGAGCTGAGATTTGTCAGTCACTAGGCCATCGGCACTGATGATACTCCCAGGATACGTGAAGCGGTCTACATGTTCGACTACTTCACTCCCCCCTATCACCAGTTCAGGTACCGATGAAACTCAATCTTGCATTTCGAGGGTGAGAACTGCATCCCGAACATGCTTGCATTGTTGCTCAGGGTAGTCAGAAGACTCAGCATTTTGTCAGCGTCTTCACCCAATACGACTTTGTCATCAGCATACCTTGAGTCAACAAGCGTGTCTCCTGGTAGAAGGTCCACTCCTGAAAAGTTAGACGATGATAAATGTCATATCTAGGAGCATGTCTATGACAAAACGAAACAAGAAAAAGAAAAAAAAGCCATACTTTTTCTCATAGTGAAATCAACTGCTAATCAGTGCGTAGACCACCATTAAAAATCTGTAATAGACTTTAATCCCGTTGCCTAAAGTAATTCTAGTTTCAGCCATTTCTTTCATGAGATTGTTAGATAGAGTCCAACTCCAATGACCTCGATTTACTTCAACTGGTCAGTAGTAGTATCATTGACCTTTATACTTAGGAGTGTAGGTCATACTCAAGTAGCTGGATGAATTCATTGATTTATATTCGTGTATAATAACTGTTCAATTATTTCACTCTTATTTGTTGTATACATATATTTAGGTGTATTTCGGCCATAGTTTCCCTTTTTTTTATTTAAAAAAAGAAGCATCTGTCAAATGCCATTTGGTAATAATTGACAACACAATTACTTTAAATTCTGTCAGCTCCTTCTGGTGTGAAAGTGAATTTTCTTTGCCTAGAGCACAGTAACATTATATAATTTGTGAAATTATGTTAGCTTTACTTCATAATAGCAGAAAGTCAGTCAGTCAGTTACAACGTGGAAACTCACTCATACGTACGTACATCAGTTCAAGTTAACAGACCATATTAGCACAAACAGATGAAATTGTCAATTCAAGTGTCATAGTCGTAGAGATAGTAAAAGTATCAGCAGTAATCAAACAGATTAGGGTTCAAAGATATTTATGCAAGAAGTATAATTTAGTGAAACAAATTTAATGAAGAGAAAGATGAGGGTGATAAGAAATTCCTAAGATTAGAATTTCAGAGAACTCAAAGAGTGGATGCACCAGAGCCACTATAAACGATGTTGAGCCATCGTTTGCGATTGTCTCGCGACCTTAACCAAGTAGTCTACCTCTACTAACGGCTCAATTCATTTATAAAAGGCTTCGTGGGTTTGTGCCATGTTTTGATTTAGCTCCTCTTAGCTTTCTTCTTCAAACCTACCGTTCTAAACCATAAAACATCGCTCATCGAAGCAGTCGGTGGTTAGGCATACGCAACACATGTCCCAGCCATCTCAACTGTACTCTGACTGACCATGTTTCACAGGCATTAAAATAGAGGACAGTTCCGTGTTCATCAAGTCCTTATGAAAGAAACATCAAATCCACATTTTCTATTTATTATTTTCAGTAAGTTATATATTTGTATATAACTACGCCTACATATCCATAGTTTATGCTTTAACGTTAATTGCAATTGATTTTTTTAATTTTTATCCAAGGATACTACTGCTACTATTTCTACTCTGAATTACTTTCATGTCATATTCTATCCATACAACAACAACAATAACAACCCATCATGTATTATTAGTACTGATTTATGTGCAAGAATGTATATACATATATATATGGCAATGCTCTATCTATCTATCTATCTATCGACTATCTATGTCTAGCATGCCGTTTTTTTTTGTCAGACAACTATCACAACGTGTAGTGTATTTTGCCTTACCTCAAAATGAAAAAAAGAAACCCTCCCCCCTAATCACTGAACAACACATCGTGTATATTATGCGTTTCATCAATCTGATCGTGTAATTTCAATTTGGTCACATAGTCTTTCTTCTGTCTTATTATAGTTAGTAGTAATTTATGTATTGTTTTTATTTCATCTGTTTATACAACAACATTCGTACCACTTATTGATCTCTTTATATTATATATGCATACCTATTGTTTAGTCTCATAATCCACAATTACCATTGTATTATCATGATTGCTGTTTGTTTGTTTTTTTCTCATGTTTCCTCTTTTGCATATTTTGTGTCACGAATTATGATTATTATTATTATGATTATTTTTTCTTTTTGGTCGTCACAAACAACGCTGAACTCCTGCTCTACTGCCACCCACCTATGTGTGTGTGTGTATGTATGTGTAGTGATTGCACAATGCGATCGATCCCGTTGTCTTTTTGCATCGTTCATTTTATTTCATGGGTCCAATTTTAGTTTTCGCGCAATGTGTTCACTTCACTTGATCTCTTCCCTATCTTGAATCGAGAACAAACGAAAACCCGTAGGATTTTTAAATATTGATCTGATTCATTATTATTATTATTATTATGACAAACCCAGTAATTTGTATGTATGTGTACGTGCGTGTGTGTGTATGTATATATATATATTCCATCTGTGATAATATTGTTGTACCATGTAAACCTGACACATACTACTCACTCACTGGTCATAATTATTATTTCTGGCTAGTAGAGTATATATAGCACGCAATAGTAGTAGGTTTTTGGTTGTCACTGAATTGACCATGACATCAAAACACATCCATTGTAATGTATTTTGTTTTGTTTTTTTCAAAAAAAAATTCATCATTTCTCACTATATTTGTCACATTGTTTTTCTCAATCTGCCTCTCTTTGACTCGGTTGTCATTTGTCCAGCATTGACAACCAATCAACCAACCAAACCAGCTTTATAATACTTTATTTCTCATGATAATATTATTATTGAGAATTGTTTTGTTTTTTTCTTTTAAAAAAAATTTATTTTATGTTCTGCTAACAACTCTTTGCAGTGCAATTTGTGTTTTCTTTGAAAAAATTTACTTTCATTTCATTCAGTGTATCTGTGTGTGTGTGTATGTGTTAATCATTTTACCTGATTTTATTCTTTACAAACACACAACCATTGAGTTGTAATAATAATAATAATGTCAATAACAAGGAACATTTGTGTGCTTTCAGGGGTATGAGGGCGGATGTTAATTTGCGGCTGCCTACACTGTGGAACGGGGTTCTGATTGTGTCAGAAAGGTCATTATCGGCCTCATGACATTCGAAGGGATTCGTACGTACATACTTAAGATCAGGCTGCCATACCACATTAGCACAGAGACTCAGTTGTCAGTTCAATAGTGGCCTCATAGTGGTAGAGATATTAGATGTATTAGCGGTTATGGAGAAGATTAGGGTTCAAAGGTATTACGCAAGATGAATTTAGAAAGAGAAGAGTAGAAGTGATGACGAATTCAGAAGATTAGAATTTCATAGAACAGAAAGAGTGGATTCACCTGCACCATTGCAAACGATTTAGAACCATGTCAGTGACTGACGAAATCTCAGCACGGATACAAAAAGCTCGACTGGCTTTTGCCAACTTACGTCATTTATGGTGTACGCGATATATCCGTCTACTGACCGAGGGACGGGTTTAATGCGCAGCAGTTTGCTCTGTACTACTATATGGCTGTGAAACATGGACAGTAAGAGTAGAGGATATTCGTAGGTTACTAGTATTCTATCATAGGTGTTTTAGAAGCAGTGCTCGTTTATCCTGGGACTATCGAATAAGCACTGCTGAGGTTAATAAAAGGCAGATCAATTGATGAAGTATTGAAACTTCGTCCCTTGAGATGGTTGGGACATATGTTACAAATGTCCAAACACTGACTGCCTCGACGAGCTATGTTTTGTTGTGTAGGAGTAGACTGGAAGAAACTTAAGGGCGGCCAAACACGGCACAAGTGCATGAAGTGACTGACAAATAGATTGAGTTTTGCTGGTAGGTGTAGAAGTCCGCGAAATGATAATAATCGAAGATTAGAGACCTTGAATGACATGGCTCAAAATCGTTTGAAATGATGCAGGTGCATTCATTCTTTGGCTTCTATCAAATCCTAATCATCTGGGTTCTTGAATAATATCTTGGAACCTTAATCTCTCCGATTACTGCTGATACTCTTACTATCTCTACTAATATGAGATATCTGAATTGACAATTGCGTCCCTATGCTAATATAGTCTGTCAACGTGAACTCATGTACGTACTTACGTACGTAGAAATAACTACATTGTAACTGATTAACTTGTTGTTATTGACCAAAGTGAAAAACGATTAGAATTTAGTTGAGCAATAATGTAAAACACACACAAGACGTACAACTGTTTACTTCCTTTTTCTTCTAAAAATAAACCTCATATATACAGATAGATAGACAGACAGACTGGAATGATAAGGATACTACTCTCTTCACACACATACGCACACACACACACTTTGGTGGATTTGTGTGTTTGAATAAAAGCAAAAATAAACATTTCTTAACTAATACAAATAATAGAATATATATTATACATTTTTTTCTTACAAAAAAACATACACCAAGAACAACCGAGTAAATAGTAAAGAATAACGATTAAATTACACATCCATCATTCAAATAATTAATGATGTTTATTCACATACATACATACATAACATGGTTAAAATCAATTGAAAATGAATGTGAACAATGTGATTTTAATTGTTGTTATTGTTGTTGATGATGATGATAGAAAAAATAAATAAATAACCACAATAGGAAGTAGTAGTACTGTGGGTGGTAATATTAATCGGAGTGGTAGTAGTATGAATAGTATTAGTGGTGTGAGTTGTAGAAGTAGTGTTTAGTAACAGTGGTAGTTAGTGTAAGTGGTAGTATTAGTCGGAGTAGTAGTAGTAATAGTAGAAGCAGTAGTAGTAGTAGTAATAATAATAATAATAATTAGTATTGAGAAATCCTCACATTTGTAAATGCATTTTGATTTGAATAAATGCATAGAATATGCTAGCAATCAGTAAGTTTAAGTGAGTGAATAAATAAATAAATGCAATAAGTAAATGCAGTTGTTTCATAATGTCTATATCTATCCTCCTGTATTGATCGTTATTAGCCTGTGGAGTCGGTGTATAGCACAATAAATTGATTGAAAATTTTACAACTCTATCTTATAATAATAACAAATAAATAAAGATTCGTTGAGTAAAGTAGTTTGAAAACCGAGATGAGATGACTGATGTTCATTTGTAGTTTCATGAGTTCTGGTTGTTGTTGTTGTTGTTGATAAATAATGAAATTGTATTAAAAACAGCATCAGCGACAGAGGCATGAGCAGAGATAAAAATGCACAGATAAGTTATGATTGACTGAAAGTTTAAATAATACATTTGGTTTTAAAGAGTGATTTTGTTAGCATAGAAGGTAGAGATGTTGAATGTTGTCCACGACAAATTAGTCAACCTGCGAATGAAAGTGTAAATACAAACTGATTATTGTTATTATTATTATTATTATTGTTACTGACAACTAGAACAGTATCTTGCTAGATAACTATAATGAACCCTTAGGTACTGGACAGTAGCTTTTTCATAGTATTGGGACTCTTCAGCAGTGTATGCCGGAGATCAAACGCAAAACGCGGTCTGCCGTGAAAACACTTAAACTATTGAGCTGAAACCCAGTGATGTGTACTTTACGCATGTGAACACTAACCAGATACTACGACCAAGTACGATAAATCGTAAAATACACAAAATCCGACCGATAATTGAAAGCATAATTACATACGCTGGGCAATTATTCATACACAATGAAAGGCAGAGTGAAACTTTCGAGTGAATCAAAGCCGTAGGTGTACTCACACCTGACTTGAGAGCCTGAATCCTGCGCCATTATGAACAGTTTTGTGGCCTGTTACTCAAAGTATCTAACTATTAGTTACGATGATCACATCAATCTCAACCACGTAGTCTGTACTAACCTACACTGGCTCAGTCTATCAGTCAGTGTCCTAATGAACTGATGCCATGTCGTGATTTGGTCGCTCCTAGCATTCCCCGAACATACTTCTACATCAGCCATCACCGCGTATCCCGGTAGGCGGTCAAATATGATTAATGCCTAAACCATATTAGTCGACAAAGTTTTACCACCTCGGATAATGTCGATAAATCATAGATGTTAACCGGATTTCATTAAGATGGGATTTTCATTTAATAAAACAATGGTCTATGGATAATTCGAACTACTGTGTCTTCTTTTCAGAATCTTGTTTCTTCGAAAAAACCACATCAACAAAACAAAATGCATGTAAACATTGAATGTGAATCAAGATGACACGTGATCGAATCCACCAAATAGTACTAATTCCCTAAATATTACTAGAACGCCTTACTGATTAGTAAAAAAAACTACGAAACATTAGTTCAGCATTTTTTTACCGACTACTTCTAGCCAATTAACATCTCAACATAATGCATACAATATCGAATCATTCCAACTAGTGAGCACAGTCAGCTACAACGCAGAACTTGGAACATACATACATCAGTTCATGTTGCCGTACTACATTGGCACAGAGATCGAATTGGCAATTCGAATTCCATTGTAGGGGAGATAGTAGAAGTATTAGTGGTAATCAAAAAAGAGTGGATACAGTTTCGACATTGCAAACGATTTTGAGCCATGTCATTCAAGGTCTCCAACCATTGGTGACTTACGTCTCGCGGACACCAACCAGGTAGTCTACACCTATTAACATGATTCAGTCCAATTGTCGTCAGTGACTTCATGTATTTGTGCCATTTTGGTCCGGGTGCCCCTAGCCTTCTTCCAACCTACTCTTACACCACAAAACATGGCTAGACGAGGCAGTCGGTGATTAGGCATACATAAAAAATGTCCAACTATCTCAACTGGTGAAGTTTCAATACTTCATCTATTGATTTGATATCCCTATCTAGTACTCTTTTCCTAACGACAGCATTGCTTACTCGGATGTCCCAGGATACACGTACAATGCTCCAAAGATATCTATACTCGAATACTCATAACCTACGAATATCCTCAAATCTTACCAGACACGTTTCACAGCCATAAAGTAGGACGCAGCGAAATGCTACACAGAAGACTCGTCCTTTTGGTTAGCGGACAGCTATCTCGTCTACTAGTGACAACAATGACGCGGTAGTATACTATTAGCAGTAATAAATAAATAAAAATATACGAACAACAGACCATTTAAATACGTAAAATTTCTAACATGGACACTTACACCATCATCACCAACACCCTCACCATTATTCTGATATTTTACACTACTTAGATTCAATCATCAATCAATTTAGTTTGACTATTATGTACAGAATGATCGTTCGAAGAATTATTCATTAATAATTGTTGCACAGAATGCATACATTTTGATAATAATAATATTTTCCGATTTGTTTTAAATACTGATGAATTTGGCGGGAAATTCAAAACTGACGATGATGATGATGATGATGACGAGGAAGAATCATGATAGATTCCAGTACGATTAGATGAATCATAAACATTGTGTATTTGATTGTGATATTGAATATCATTATTATTATTATTATTATCATTATGATCATAGTTTATAGTTGAGAAATACGAAACATTGGATATCATTGTTTGAGGCAAATTCAATAACGATTGACTATTATGATTATCACTGAAGGAATTAGACAAAATCTTTTCATTAAAAGAAAACAAACAATGAGGATATAGAAAAGATTAAAAAACAAAACGAAATAATGATGATGACATCATTCGGTAACAGGCAAGTTGAATCCAATAGAGAAAATAGAAATCACAATATAAACTGTCTATACCAAATAGCCCATACACAACGAAACACCCAGTAGGATAGTCAACATAAGGAGTAGTTGATTGAAGAGTAAAAACGATGTCAATTTAACTAGAGGCTGATATCAGAATAACTCGTTTAAAATATATTGAATGAATTGGATGTGCGTTAAAAAGTAATCACACATAATCCGGTAAGATTCTGTAACATTTTGCAAGAATACTGATACATATTCGATCGGTTGAAAGTGTCACTTTCAATTTCAAGAGAGTTTATAAATGAGGATATTTATGTATATATATTTATATATATATATATTTATATATATTCTCAGTAGGATTTTAGAGACAATCGTGAATCAATCAAACTTAAAACACCATTAGATACCTTCAAGCACTAGACGGCCGTTTCGTCCTGGTATGGGACTCATAAGCAAAGCACATCCACGACTCCTGCACCTTGCAGGAATAGAACCCAAGGCCTTCGTTCTTGCGCGCGAACACTTAATATCCAGACCACTGATCTGACATCCAACTGTTTTGATGTGAGGTTAACATTAGGCGTTCGCACGCAAGACTGAAGGTTCTAGGTTCGATTCCTACGAGCAAAGTATTGGATGCGCAACGCTGACTAGTCCCATACCAAGACGAAAAGAAACGCCGTCCAGTGCTCTCAGTTTCTAATGGTGATCTAACACTGACTGATTCATAATTTCAATAAAACTCAAAGTTTTTGCATTGAAGTACTTAGTTTAAAATCGCATATCAGAAGCTTTTGTATCAGTATTATAGTCGAACAACCATCCGACATAATACAATGTTTGTTAAGAAGTCGATATATAATCAAAAAACATAAATGGATTTGTTGTATTATAGTTAATTTTTAAAGTTATCACTCCATATTCTATAACTGTAACATAAATATTAAATATTTTATTCAATCAATGATCAGGAGATAAAAACTGAGATGAAATGGAGTTAATGAAGGGAATTTCTAGAAGTTAATATTATTTCCATAGTTAAAATCACAAGGGAATCACATCCTGAACATGGTTTTATAATTGCCTAAGGTGATCAGACGACTGCGTATGTTTTCCAAGTCTTCATCAAACAGAACTTATAATATAGTCTGCATATTTCTAAGTCAACTAGTGAATCTCCTGGTTTTTATTATTAGTAGGGTTTTGAATTATCTCATTATTGAAATACAAAAATGAACTTTGATAAATATTTACTGGAACAGAACATGGGGATAAGTTTTCATTTTTCTGAACCCAATAAATAACATGTGCGTTAGAAGTGATAAGTTACTGGATACTTATTTAATTGCTTAAGCCTGTTGCCCCCCCCCCCAATGGAGTATAGGCCGCTGACCAGCATACTCCAACCTACTCTGTCCTGAGCCTTTCTTTTCAGTCCTATCCAATTGCTGTTCATTCTTTGCATGTCTGCTTTCGATTCTCGGCACAATGTGTTATTTGGTCTTCCTATCCTTCTTTGGCCTTGAGGATTCCAAGTGGGGGCATGTCCCGCGATGCAGTTGGGTTCTTTTCTCGATATGTGTCCTATCCATCTCCATGCTTTTTCCTAATATCTTCCCAAGCTGGGAGCTGGTTTATTCTCTGTCACAACCCGTTACTACTGGTGTCTGACCAGCAGATCCACAGTATCTTCCATAAAAGACTGTTAACAAACACTTGTCTCTTCTGGATGATGATTTACATGGTTCTCCGATGTTCCGCTTCATACGGTAGGACTGTTTTTATATTTGTATCGAAAATTCTAACTTTGGTGTTTGTCGATAGTTGTTTTGAGTCCCATATATATGCTCCTCCAATTGTAGAAATCTTGCCCTTGCTTTTTAAATCTACGCCTTCATATCTGCGTGTGATCCGCCTTGTTCATCAATGATGCTACCAATATATGTAAAGATTTGTACATCTTGCAAAACTTCTCCTTGAAGTGTGATTTGGTTGGCGCATGTTGTGGTATCGGAGAATCTTGGTTTCCCGTTGTGTATGCTGCAGCCTAGTGCTGCAAAGGCTGATGCTACACTGGTCGTTTTCTCTTGTATTTGTTGTTGCGTGTGCGATAGAAGAGCCAGATCATTTTTAAAGTCCAAATCATCCAGCTGCATCCTAGCTGTCCACATTGTATCCTGTGCTTGCCTCAAGATATTGATGTCTTCACAATCCAGTTGACCACCATGATAAAGAGAAAGAGTGAGAATAGGCAACCTTGTCTGACAATGAGACTTATTGTGATTGGAAATGCAAGTACATTTATCAGACTAATCTTAAACAGGAAAAAATGTACTGCAATTCATCTATTTTAAAATATCAGCCGAACTAATTTGGCATTGATTTAAAAAATCCTCAACAACAACAACAACAACAACATTTCAAGTTACAATCAATAGAAAACCAACAAAACCTACATGATATTCATTGTTTTCATGATTACATGTTATTGACAATAAAGCGGAAGAACTAGGTGAATGTAATAAATCAGTTAATCGTACATTATTTCGATTCATTTCATGTAAACTGTCACAACTTTTGCTTTGATTACATGGTTTTATCGATCGATAATATGCGATGGGAGTTTTGCTAGCGCTCAAACTGTCATCATCATCATCAACAACAACATTGTCGTTAGAACTTGCTTCACGACTTGGACAAGTATCGATCGGATGAAAATCTCGATTGGTAATAATAATAACATTGTTATCATCATTACAACATAGTACGTCATTGGTGAATCCATCATCACTGTGCTTCATAGGGATTTCCGGCAGTGAATAACAATGGCCTAGCAAATGATCACAATCAGTTATTGATTTTATTTGAGCATTATTATTATTATTATGATTACTATTCAATGGTTTCATTTTCATTGTATTCACTGGCTGATCTGTACTGGCGTCAATCTCATCATCCACTTCAATGACACTAGATAATTTATTGAATTGATTCAATGTTCCACGATCATTGTGTGATGATGATTTGTTGTGTTCAATGAAAAATGAATTATTAGGCATTTGTAAACATTTATTACAATCATTTGAGGTAGTTGTAAAACTAGAAATTATTGTTGAACAATCGTTAAGATGATTATTATTATTAGTATGATTATCTTCCATGAAGTCTAGTTGACGTTTTTGTGAACAAATACGTATTAGAGCACAGATTAATATAGCTGGGACTGGTGCAAGAACTAGTTTTTGTTGGAATAGAACACATACAAAAAAAAAGAAATGGAAAGAACGAAATGAAAAATAAATTCAGTCAATTCAATCAAGAAAAAAAACTAACAAATTATCAGAGACAATTGTTCTTCATACTAACTACATACTACTACTTAACTAGGTGGCCATAAGCAATAATGCAAGCATGTTCAGGATGCGGTTTTCCCCGTGGAAATGTAAAATATTGTTTCAGGATTGACTTGTATCGGTACTTGAACTAGAGATAAGTAGTAAAGTAGCTTAGTGTGTTGACCGTTTCACTTATCTGAGGAGTCTCATCAGTGCTGATAGCCTGGTGTGTGACAAAATCTCAGCACGAATACAGAAAGCTCGATTGGCTTTTGCCAACCTGCGTAACTTATAGCGTACGTGAAATATCCGCTTGCTAACCAAAGGACGAGTGTACTGCGCAGTAGTTCGTTCCGTCCTACTTTATGGATGCGAAACATAGCCAATTAGAGTAGATATTCGTAGGTTACTGGTTTTCGATTATAGGTGTCTTCGAAGCATTGCTCGTGTATCATGGGAAACGAGTACTAAGTAGGGATAACAAATCAATAGATGAAGTATTGAAACTTCATCGGTTGAGGTGGTTGGGACATGTGTTACGTATGCCAAACCACCGACTGCCATGACAAGCGATGTATTGTGGTGTAGCAGTAGGTTGGAAGAAAGCTAGGGGCGGCCAAACTAAAACGTGCCACAAATCCATGAAGACAGTGACGACAAGTGGACTGAGTTATATCAGTAGGTGTAGACTACCTGGTTTAGGTCCTCCAGATGATAGTAATCGATGGTTAGAGACTTTGAACGACATGGTTCAAAATCGTTTGTGATGGCGAGGTGCATCCACTGTTTGTGTGCTTTTCAATTCTAACCTTCTGAATTCCTCATAATCTCTATCTTTCTCTTTTCAAATGTATTCCAATGAATTATACCTCTTGAATAATATCTTCGAATCCTAATCTTCTGCATTACCGGCAATACTTCTATCGTCTCTACTACTATGGGATTTGAACTGACAATTACGTCTCTGTGTTAATGTAGTATGGCAACATGAACTAATGTACTTATGTACAAAGTTTCACGTTGTAACTGACTGACTGAATTAGGTGACCCCGTATATAATTGTAGGGCATTTCATTTTCATATGCCTTCTACATGTCTCAGGCTAGTCATACTACTCTACACTACACTCAATTGTCGAAATTCAAAAACAGAGATTTGAACAAACAACTAGTTGAATAAAAAAAATCAAATGTGTTTTTTATTTAAACACTACTAATCCATAAGTGTTATTCAATTGAGATGATAAATATACATTAATGATGACAAAACAAGACAATCTATTGATATTGTTTATAATCTGAGGAACATGTAACTAACTTCATGTCATCAAAGCACAACAAAAACAGTTGCCAAAATTATGATTGGTGGATACATTACACAAATAAGATTAGTACTGTGTGCATGTGCATGTGTGTGAATGAGTGAGTGAGTGTGAAGAGAGTCAAACTGTGAACAGGAAAACAGTATTCAATGTCAATAGAGTAATTAAAAAATTAATCTCAATTTAGTAAGGAAGTAACAAAACGACATCATACAAATTACATTGTAAGATTCTAGTTGAAATAAAAACCCTAGTTTAGTCGAAACTATCCAACACAGAATGTATGTGAAAATCTAGCAAAAACTACAAAATCAATCACCTACACATACTGCAAAACAAAAAAGATTGAAAAAGTGAAAAGTTTCAATGCAAAAGTAACAAACAAGTAGATGTAGATATGATTATGTCGTTTCTATATTATTATTATTATTATTATTATTATTATTAGTATTATTATTATTATTATTATTATTAGCCTGCACGCTCACTGCTGATGAGTACCTTACCAGGACTAAACAGCCGTCCAGTGCTTCTAGGTTTCCTAGGATGGTCTGACAATGATTCATTCATGTTTTCAATGTAAAACAACGATCTCCATAATACCGTGATGAAAAAAAAAATCAAAAATGTGCTCACTAGTGACTAGTTTCGTGAGGAAATCTTCAAAGTTCTAGTGTGAAGTCGTGACCAGTGGAGTTCAACCCTGTTGGGTTTAGGCAGTAACTACCGAAGACAAATGGGTGAGGTTGCACAAAATCCTTAGATCGATCAAAGTTGGACATTAACGCCGTTGGATGCCGACTCAGTAGTCTAAACGTTTGCGCGCAAGACTGAAGGTCCTAAATTTGAATCCTGCAAGTTGCAGGCGTTGTGGATACACACTGCTGACTAGTCCCCCATATCAGGACGAAACGGGTTTCTAGTGGTGGTCTAACAATGATTCATGCATGATTTTTAATGTGAAAACCAATAAAGAATATTTCAAACTATTATCATTCGAAATAATAATATAAATAAATGAATAAAAAAAAAGCCAAATCATTATTATTTCACAGTCTATTCAATGTGTCAATGTGTATAAGATCTATAAAGCATCTCTCATCTATATCATATTACTATTATTATTATTATTATTATTATTATTATTATTATTATTATTATTATTATTATCATTCATATATGGATGAATTTGCCTTTTTATGATATTGAATATTTAATTATTTCAATTTTAGTAAAGAACAGAATAGTTATGAATTTTATTTTTAGTTTATTCATACACACATGATATGTGTATTCAGCCTCTCAGACTTTAATTATTGTTCCATACTACTTCATAATAAATAATTGAGGTCATTAGACAAATAAGTGAAAAAATTAGATTAGTGTATATGAAAAAATATATATATATATATATATCACGAGTTCACCTTAGTCGATAAACGAGAACAAGACAATCAACCAGTGTCCTGGTAGGCTACTCTGATCTATCACCCCAACTAACTGAAGAGAAAAGTCTTGATATAGCATAGAAAGTGTATTCTACAAAACACCCAGCATGAACAATGCAATCAAGCACACAAATCGAGTTTATTTATACAGCATAGAGATGTCCTTGAGAGGGTCACAAAAATAGTACACTAAATACACAGTAACCAATCATAGCCAAGGATTTTCCTGGAGCGAAATATGATCTCAAGGTCAAAAATGATCAGTCCATGTATAAAATCCAAAATTTAGATCTTTATCAAATGAGTTCTGAGGATCTAACTTCCCCCAACATTTGTATACTCGTTTAATGAGTATAATGGAAAATTAGATGGGAAAAGAAATTTGGAATGTCATAAGCCCAGGTGAAATGTAGTATAAGTAACTTGAACTGGTGTACGCATGAACGTACGTACGAAGTTCTACGTTGTTACTGAGTGACTGAAAATGAAATTAGGCTTACTAATTTGGGAGATTAAATACAAGAGATAAGATTGGACAATAAATAGAATGGAAGAAATCTTGTTGTATCTACGTACACAATCATTATACAAAAACGACAGTTTCCTGGCGAAAAAAACCCATAACTCTACAGCGGAAAATTGAAAATTCAACTGTCAATTCCATCAGAACAACTCAAATCGATTTCTTAGTAACAATCATAGAAAAAATTTTTAATTTCACATGATGACCTGGAGAAATAAACGAATTCTACCGCAGAAACTTAGAGTAGCTGAATATGAAAAGTATTCAAAAAAATCTGAAGTTTTGGTGTTCAATCCCTGAGATCGCAGAGTCGTGGATGCGCACTTTCAATAAGGTGTTCAATAGTAAAACGAAAAGGTCGTTCAGTAGTGCATTCAAGTTCTCAATGCTAGTTTAACTAAGAGCTGTTGATGATTCAAAATCCGAAAAAATTTCATATTCATTTAATTCTTACTACTGACGAGGAATCCTATCGATCAAGTAGCATTACATGTGTTACGTATGCCCATCCACCGACTACGTCGTCGAGCTATGTTTTGTGGTATAGGAGTGGGTTGGAAGAAAGCTAGGGGCGGCCAAACCGAAACATGGCACAAGTCCATGAAGTCACTGACGACAAGTGGAATTATTCATGTTGGTAGATGCAGGCTACCTGATTGAGGTCCGCGAGATGAAAGTCACCAATTGTTAGAGACTTTGAATGACATGGCTCAAAATCGTTTGCAATAGTGCACGTGCATCCACTCTTTGTATTCTCTCAAATTATAAACTTCTGAATTCCTCATCACTTTGATCTTTCTCTTGTTAACTTCATCTCGCTGAATTGTACTTCTTGAATAATATGTTCGATCCCTAATACTCTCCATTACCAGTAATACTTCTGCCATCTCTACCACTGGGATTTGGACTAACAATTGCGTCTCTGTGTTAATGTGGTTTTGGCGACTTGAATTGATGTACATAAGTATGTACAAAGTTCTACATTGTAAGTGACTGACTGACTGACTGATTACAGTAGCTAGTCCAAATAACCGAAGATTGAGTGCATCATATTGAGGTATCAGGTAGTTGGAAGTAGTTGGTAAAAAGAGTTGAACCTAGGTATCATACAAGTTGCTGTTTTTCAAAAAGATATAGATAAAATCTTTAGAGAAAATTATAGCTCTACTTAAGAATATAAACCTCCATGACATAATCGGTGAAAATACTATCAGTCCTAAAACAGATGATCAACAGTGACTCGATTAGCATACTCAATGATCCCATGTCAAAGAGTTAACAAGCTGACAATTGATGAATCCAGAATCTATAGTCGACTGTTGCTAACCATTTAATATTAAAAGATGAATCTTTATTTTTAGTTTAAACTCTTCATGTTTTAAAGTAGCCATACATTTTTCATACAATCATTTTCTCTGGTGAATAAATAAATAAATTTTTGTTCTTTTTCAAAACACCATTGAGCATAGAGTTCAATAAGAATTCCAGGATGATTGACAGTCAATTGATTTTACTCTTTGTATATACGGGCTTTACTATTTTATACCCGTATATGTTTTACTAATTTTTCGAACAAAATAGATATTTTTTATTTTTAAAAAATGTAATCATGTAAGAAAAGCGATTGCAATAGTTAGAATATTTGAAATCATTAATCGATCTTTGTTAGACCATCATTAGAAACCTGGAAGCACTGGACAGCCGTTTCGTCCTGTTATCGGACTCATCAGCAGTGCGCATCCACGACTCCTGCTCCCCGCAGGATCCGAACCCGGGACCTTCGGTATTGTGCACGAACGCCTAAACATCGGACCAGTGGACCAGCATCCAACGGTGTTAATGTTTAACTCTGATTGATCTACGGATTTTGCGCGACCTCACCTATTTGTCTTTGGTAGTTACTGCCTACACCCGACAGGGTTGAACTCGATTGGTCACGTCTTCTCAACTAGAACTCCGAGAATTTCCTCACGAAGCTAGTCACTAGTGAGCACTGTTACGATATTTTCTGGTAGAGTTTTGAAGGTTTGTGTTTTTACACATTTGAAATCATCAATCAGTCATTGTTAGACCACTATTATAAACGTGGTCGCGCAAAATCCGTGGACTAACAATGATTGATTGATGATTTCAATTGTGTAAAAACACAAACCTCCAAAACTCTGCCTGAAAATAGTTAGAATAATCAAAGTTTTTACTTTTTTTCAAAATAATTCTAAAAGTCTAATCATTCATGTAAGAATAACTCTGGCTGGAGCTTTTCTAGGGTTATTGCCTATCTCAAGACCAGCGGATAAAAGAGAAGTGTTGGGTGTGTAAGGGTGGGGAATGGTTAGCGACCGCCAAATCTTGTGGAAATGCAACTTGCTAAGAAAAATAATCGCTAGCCATAAAAGAAACTATTCAAACAATTTAAACTCGTCCACTGGGGGTTGGGAAGTCCTTGAGATGAAGGCTGAATTTTATTCAGAAGTCACAAGGCCAATATCACTTATGACAACCAAAGTAACCATTCACTGAAACTAGTATGACAGAACAACTTTTGATTTTGATAATCAGTCGAGTACATTCGTTAAGTCGATCGATAATTATTCTGAACTGTCATATTCAGAGACTAAATGAAACGTAAGCCACTCAGTCATGTGTTGGTTTTGAATTTGATTTGATGGAACAATAACAACAGCGGCGCGATATGACAAGGGGACGAAAGAAGGGTTAGTCGTGAATATAAATGAGATGTTAGGGGATTGGACGATATTATTCAAGAAGTAGAATCTAGTAGAATAAACTTAAAAAGAAAAAGATAAAGTAATGAGGGGTTAAAAAGTTTAGAATTTGAGAGAACACAAAGAATGGATGCACTTGTGCCGTTGCAAAAGGTTTTGAGCCATGTCATTCAAAGTCTCAAACCATCGATTACTAACATCTCACGGACCCCAACCAGATAGTCGACACCTACCCACATGACTCAGATCACTTGTCAGTGGCTTCATAGATTTGTGCCATGTTTTGGTCTGGCCACCCCTAGCTTACTTCCAGCCTACCGCTACACACCGCAAAATATAGCTCGAAGAGGTAGTAGGTGGATAGGCATACGCAACACATGTCCAAACTACATCAAATGATGAAGTTTCAGTCCTTCATCTATTGACTTGCCATCCTTACCTAGCACTGAATAACCTGAAAAGGAAGGTAAATTAGCGTTGGTCTTAGACACCCGGGAGCGTGACCACAGAGCCCAAAGGAAAACTGCTTGAGGCCGGTAAAGCACGGGCTGTTTATGAGAAATCGCCAAACTGTTAGCTCTGGTCCTCAAGTGGCCTTATCGTCGGAGACGGAAATCCATGACATAAGGTGAGGTGTGACATATTCATGTAACGAATTTTATAAATAGAACTACTGACACATCCTAAATACAGTTCCACTATTACATCGGGCAGTATATTTTCAATAACATTTTGCTAATTTTTCTAAATGCAAGAATGTTTTCATTTTCATTTTCTTAGAAATAATAACTAAATACAGATTGCATGTTTATCAGCCAGTCAGTCGATCAGTCAACCAAGAAGTAGAACTTTGTACGTACGTACGTACATCAGTTCAAGTTGCCATACCACATTAGCAAAGAGAGATCGAATTGTCAGTTCCAATCCCATTGTGGTAGTGATATTAGAAGTATTAAACATAATGGAGAAGATTAGGGTTCGAAGATATGATATGATTAAGCATACCAACGCATAAGCCTACGATGTCGGCAATAAGGAACCTAATTAAGTGGCCGCACTTGAATGATATGCCAGTAGAAATTCTAGACTCTGAAGACGTTCTAATGCTCATTGGTTGTGATGTACCGGGAGCACATTGGGTGTTAGATCAGCGGCTAGGTGGGAGGAAAACACCATATGCGGTAAAAACATTACTGGGATGGACTATATTCGGACCTACATCATACCTGGAATATGGAAAAAGGGTTGTTAATCATATCAGTAAAGTACAAATATTGGAAGGCCAAATACGTAAGCTGTATGATGTGGAGTTTGCTGATGTCTATTCTAGTGACAAGTCAGTATCTGTAGGAGACAAGGTCGCCATTGAAATTGTAGAAAGAGGCACACATTTCGACAACGGTGATTTTGTATTTCCGATATCATGGAAACAGAACCCAACCACGAATGGGACGAATAATGAAGTAGAAGGCGATAGGTTACAGAGCTTGAAGCGAAGATTGATGAAGGATGACAGGTTACATTGTAGTGCCTCCACATATATTCCAGTTCGCTTACATCTAACTTGGTTAAGCCCTTTCGATTAATTTATTTAACCAAGCCATTTGTATAGCAACAATTTATATGTACCATTCGTTCTTATTATTGTCTGGTTTGTATGAGATTACTTAACATGTCCCACTTGCCATTTGACCTTGTCAATCATTCGTCGCTTTTATTCATGTGTGTGCACGCCTATTTCGCTTGTCATATGTCTGCCTTATCAAGAACAGAATCGATGACCCTGACTCGAGGGTGGAGTTACACTTGTTCAGCGACGCCTCGGAGATTGGTTATGGAGCGGTTGCTTATGCTCGGGTGGGTTATATGAGGGCACAACCATACTGTATCTTGTTATCCCCTTCCCCTCAAACCATCGATTACTATTATCTCGCGAGCCCCAACAGGTAGTCTACATCTACCAACATGACTCAATCCAGTTGTTAGTGGCTTCATGGACTTGTGCCATGTTTTGGTTTGGCCATCCCTAACTTTCTTCCAACCTACCTCAAAACCACATCCGTAATATAAAAATTATGAGATAAAAATGTATGCTGCTTAATCAATAAGTAGTAGTAGTAGTAGCCTAGTTTATCATTAACTAGAACAAGGAACAAAAAAGGAAGGTAAATAATATCAGTAGTGAGAATATGACACTTTAAGAGATACTTTAAACAGAAAATTTACAATAAAATAAGTGCACACTTACTTATCCATGGTAATTTCGACATCCAATGATCATGTTTATCTGATTGGTGTGAAACATAAAAGAAAAACAACAAATCATGAAACATTCATGCTTACGATATAAACATTGGAAACATTTAAAATACCATATATTTACCTGCCTACTTAATTACTTACTTAATTACGCCTGCTACTCTCCCCGAAATAGAGTATCAGGCCGCTGACCATTTCTATGGTTGACGTTTCTTTTTATTAATAAGTTAGCTTTCTATGGGATGAGGTCCTCTGACCCCATGCCCAATCCTCCTCCTCCTTTATCATTTATATTTACACACGTAAAAACAGAATAATCATAATATTGATAATTATGGTAGAAGTAACATTTATGAACGAACCAGTCAAACAGTTAAGATAGCATCCAGTATTCGTGACACCATAACGAAAAACATTCAAAGTCTTACTCTAACAACTTCTAGTTTCTGATTCTTTCATTTCTGATTGCTGTCTATTGATTATTTCTCTATTAAATGTAAGTTCATTTTCTATGCGCTTACCGAGTCGTCGGCTCACCACTTTTTTTCTCTTGTTCTTTTCTCTTCCAGACAACCTCACACGCTGCTGCACAGATACTGGTAGAACACAAGGTACCCGCTGGATAAATGCAAATTAACCAAAGGCTGACGTTACAATAACGGTCAGGTTAAATAATCTGGGGTTAGGAAGTGAGCTAGGGGTGTCCAGACCAAAACATGTCACAAATCCATGAAGTCACTGACAAGTGAACTAAGTCATGTCGGTAGGTGTAAGATAGTATGTATGTAGATGTAAGATAGTATGGCCTAGTAGATGGGTGCACGAAATTCACTAATTCACGTCGACAAAGCATCTTCGCATTATATAACAGCTGGTTAAAGAAAACTCCATGATGCGTGTCTAACGAAAGTAAGTTGTGATTGACCAGTGAAATGATACAAACTGACATTCAACTTATTAAAATATGTGAATTTATCTATACTATCGCTTGTTACTCTGAATTCACTGTAGGTATGGACTGCTAGTGTTTGTGTAGAATAAATCCCATTATCTGAGCTATACATACAGTAACAAATCGATTATCTGGTATAACGACATGGTCCCAATCTGCGTATAGCGTATCGATCGAATAGCAAGTTTTGTGTTAGTAGGATGTATTTATTTGGCAACAGTAGTATATCATGATAAACAGAAAATATTTTTAGTTTTATCCAACTTCAACACTTTCATCACTTAATCTCTATAGGTAATAATTCACATGAAAAAGTTCATTAACGATGTCAAAGTTCTTTATCATTTGTAGTTTTATTAGTATTTCGATGTCAAGTTATTTCATAACTGGACAACACTGCATTTGGAAATGTATACTACAGAATGTATCAGATGAAAGTAGGCTGTGATTTGTCAACAAGTGAAAAACAGACATAACCAGCCGGACACATTAAATAATATAAAGATTATCTTGATATAATGTATGATTGACTTCATTTTTAACTTCAATTAGCGACTGTGTTTTGTTATGTATGCCAATTAACTCTCATTCAGGCTTATACGTAACTTTTTTAAATAATCAGTTAGAAAATTCGATCGAGTTTATGATGCAATCTTATGGCGTAGGCGAGATATTCGTTTGCTTACCAAAAGATGATTCGCTTCGTCTTACTATATGGATGCGAAACATGTTCGATAAGAGTTGAGGATATTTTTAAGGTTACTAATTTTCGATAATAGGTATCTTCGAAACAGTGCTCGTGCATCTGTATTCCGAATATATTTCCTCAAAGCATGTGTATGTTACTCGATTCATAGCTTAGCGTCCTTAGCCTTGGCCAACGATAAGTGCAAACCGACACAATTAACTTCAGCCTGAAGCGGAGACAGTTATTAAGAAGGGAAGGATAAAATTATGAGCAAACTGATCTCGTATGCTGTTAGGGGTGTGAGGGCGGGTGTCACTTCCCGGCTGCCAACACTGTATAAGGGTTTTCCTTGAGGAATCGGTAGAGAAAGTTAGATTAGCGTTGGTCTTGAAGACTTGAAAGCATGACCACAGAGCTCAAGAGATAAATACTTGAGACCGATCACACACGGTCTTTTTATAGGAAGTTTTTAAAGTGTTAGCTGCACTCTTCAAAATGCCTTACCACAGGAGATGGAAATTCGAAGGATAAAGTGAGGTGTGACATTTTTAGGGTCCACCTTTTCTAACCCTTCCTTCCTTGTGAGAAGACAGCATCGTTACAGATGCTGGTTGTCCGAGGGAAACACCTTACTGCCGTCACACCCCTCTACAGTCAGCAGTACGACTTCGTCCTCAGACATCGAATAGCTTGCTTTTGGTCTCATTGTTCTCCAATCGACCTGCCTGGCATGATAGAACATACAGGAACCTATGTTTCAACCAATATAGCTCGACTGGATCATCATAATAGGCAAGGCCGACCACCACGTCAAGGTAGAAGCTACGGTCGAGATAACAATAGTCAAGTGTTCAGACTTATCAAGGAAACTCGTATTAGAAATCCGACTCGGCTGGAAAAAGAGGGGACTAATATTCATTCTCAATTCAAGAGATTGGATTGATGGGCAGAACACTGTAGCGAACAATTCAACTAGCCTTCGGCAACAATTCAGTTATTCACGATCTCTAGTCAACCCGAACGGCGAATTGACGTATGTCCCTCCCCCACCCCAACTCTTAATGAAGTTGAAAAGGCTATAGACAGCAATGTAAGGCAATGAAGAGTAGCAGATACTGAGAGATGAACTAATTAACAGCTAAATATTAAATTACATGTTCAAACCCATTTAGATGATTTGGTCAAGTTAGATTGCAATGAACACGGGTGTACATAATAGTTCATTTATAATTCTACACTAGTATAAATCAAAAACAAAACATGAACTTACATAATTTAGAAAATTTTTTCAAAGAATAATTTGATGGAATCATAATATTACAATTTGTTTCATCTTGTGATAAATTCACTTGATTCATAGGTACTCTTAAATCACAATCTGGTAGAGTATCACATAACATTGTCGCTTGAACACAAATAGCATGTTTACTTGATAAGACATTATATACATTGGACAAGGGTGATGATGATGGGGACGATGGAGGCGATGAAGATGTCGATAGACTCTTTTCGTTGTCCTGATGATGGTGATTGTTAGTTGTTGTTGTTGTTGTTGTATTAGAAGTTTTTAAAGATTGAAGACACCAGAATCCAGAGAAAAACTCGCATAATGCTTTCTCTAAAAATTTCAAGAGATAAAAATACTTGATTATGTGAATCATTGTAAATTATTCTTCTGATATGAGATAACCATCTAAAGGAGCCTAAATCGAAGTAAGTAGTTTTCTTAGGGGACCCCGGAATATTAGCCTTTGATCTACAGGTCTAATTTATATAAGCAATGGATCAATGTCAGAAGATGCAGTCCCATGGTAGCTAGTGACTAACAGTAAGTTTGTTTATACGCCATTCGCTCCCTCAGGATTATGGAGTCCATGTGCAACATCGTTTTGAAATCACGGTTTCCAACTTCCCCTAGCCGAATATCCTCCGTACCCACCTACTTGGTTTAAGCACCAGACATTCGCTTTTCGTTCTCTCCATTCAGTAAACATCCCAAGCTACAAGAAGGCAATGTGAAGAACTTCCCTGACATTTGCTATATATAAAATCATTTAGAGAAGTGCGGACTCTACCCACCCTCGATAGTATCAGGGCATTTAGAACTATACATCTTCATGAAACCTTAAAACATCCAAATGGATTTTGATGAGTTGGATATATAAAGTGAGGATTAAGGATTTAAGGTTTAAGTTCTTGTTACGAACAGACATCAGCTAACCTGCATAAAAACTCACTATAACCAAATAGATAAATGAATTTCACGCATAAGTACCAGCGATATCATCTGATTAGTGCGTTCATAAAAAATGTTATATCACCCGGTTAAGATTTATTTCAGGATTAAAGATTAAGAAATAGGATTTAAGTATAGTGTCGATTCAACTGTTATATACAATCTCCAGAGAAAGAACTGAACCGTTAATAAGTTCAACATTACTATTTTTCACTCTAAAATTGAGAAAAATGACATTTCAATATCATTTCAAACATTTTAAGCAATAAACAAGGATACTTCTACTGTTCGACATACGTAGTATTTGAATTTTGCACAAAAATCTAAAAATCTCATTCGTAATACAGAAAAAACGAAAATGATGATGTGAAACACGTCAACAGTTTACTTCTTTCTACATTGACTGTACGTAACAACACACAAATTAGTGAGTTTTTACTGCACTCTAGTTTCATCACAGTATGTAAACCTCTCAAAGGAATCACTTTATTAGTGTAGGATAGATTGAATGTACCTAGCAATGGGATCCAGAAGGCATATCGTTTCGCCCTGTTAGAGACTTGTCTGTAGCTGAATGCACCTCCCACAGTCCAGAGTTGATATTCACTTCTTGACTCGAACCCAGTACCGTTTGCATCAAACGACATCACTTTACGCACTTAACTATTGAGCTTAGATAGCCGCTTACTTATGTAATAGGTAAAAGATTTGAATCAATTTGAAATAGTTTGGATTATCTATCTATTCTATAATATAAATAATTTTCTTAAATTTATGGTGAAATACTTTGTATTGTTATGAACTGTCTCTTCATTCATTCATGCCCAAATTGAAGTCAAATCATAAAGAGAGACTTCAAGATATTTTACTCAATCAGTTCACGTTCTAAAGAATTTACTGTCCATTAGTAAGGGGTATAAGTCTAATTGTCAAGAAGAAAAACAAACACGATAGCATTTGAAGTAAACAGTGTTAGGTTCAAGTCCAGAAGTGAATACTAATCCGACGAATCCTGAAGAGACTACTTCAATCAGTCAGTTACAAAGTAGAACTTCGTACGTACGTATATCATATCAGGTTGCCAAACCATTTTACCACAGAGATGCAATTGTCAATTCAAATCCTATAATGGTAGAGGTAGTAGAAGTATGAGCAGTAATCGGAAAGATTAGGGTTTGAAGATATTATTCGAAAAGTATAATCCAGTGAAATAAATTTAAAAAGAGAAAGATAATGATGAGGAATTCAGAAGATTAGAATTTCAGAGAACACAAAGATTGCATGCACCTGCGCCATTGCAAACGATTTTGAGCCATGTTATTCAAGGTCTCCAACCATCGGTTACTTTCGTCTCGCGGACCCCAATTAGGTAGTTCACACTTACCAATATGACTCAGTCTACTTGTCAGTGACATGAATTTCTGCCAGGCTTTGGTTTAGCCACTACTAACTTTCTTTCAACCTACTCCTACACCACAAAACATTGCTTGACGAGGACACCAGTTATAATGCAGTCTAGTTAATTGCAGACTAGTTAATAGCAATCGTAAAACATTAGTAAAAAGATTTAAACACGATATTTATCAAATAACGCAAAATGAAAACATACGGCGTTCCATAGAGAAATTTCCTACAAATAACATATGTGAAGAGATACGCACAAGAAATTTAATGCCTGACGTTGAAAGAAAATGTTGATTATTGAGATTGTTTAAAGGAGATGATGATTTCAATGATGGCGGCGACGAATGGTCACTAACACCTGCACTCAAAGAGTGAATTGAAGGAGAAGCGGAACTATTCAACAAAGATGTGTTTGTAATCGATGCAAGATTTGTAATCTCTGTTTCATTCTTCAAGTTCCATGAAATACGGATTCTTCGTAAATATCCAGATAAACTCCAATGATTCGACTGACCAATATGAGAACCTGAGCAGTTGATCAGTAAGATTTCATCAGGCTTTTTTAAAGCACCGGCAGAAAATAAAAAGTAGAAATAGTCAATGAATTAAAGAAATTAAATCGATTGATTTGTTAATGAATATTATTATTATTATCCGGTAATGTGAATTCTGTAAACAAAACTAACAAACACTGTTGTATTCAGCTGAAAGCAATCAATAATTAAGATATGAGCTAGAATATTTTTTCAACTGCCAAACAGAACATTTAAACGAACTATATGATCATAAGACTAAAACAATTATTTTCATTGATTGAATATTTGAATACAATAATGTATGAGAAGTACAGTTAGATATAAAGCCATCCCTGGTTAAGTTGACAAAGCATTGAGATATGCATTTTTTTTGAAATCATGTATCAATCATTGTTATTAGGCCACCATTAGAAACCTGGAAACACTGGACAGCTGTTTCGTCCTAGTATGGGACTTGTCAGCAACGCGCATCCACGACTCCTGCACCTTGCAGGGTTCGGTGAATCAAAGGATCCAAGCATTATATGACGTAACAATCGACTGACAGAATACTAAAACAATAATTAATGATGCCAACTTTAGTGCAGTCCTCTCTATTCCAAAAATTACCATTTGCAAATACTTTCCCTATTCAACAACACTACTTTATAAACAACATATTTTAAAAAGGCGACTGACTAACATATAATTAAGAAGAAAAAAACATTTCCTCATCGATCGACTTACTGCTTCACCAATATTATTAGTTGAATCAATGAAATCACCATCTTGATCTTTTTTCAAAGTATCTTGTCGCCAATGTTTTGTATTCCATTCTAATGATTCAATCCATTGTTCCAATTGAAGATAATATGATTCAGATAAATGAGTATTTTTTGGACAAGTAAATTGAATATGAGCTCTTAATAACCAAAAGAGTGCCTATTTAATTAAAAAGATCGAGAGTGGAATACATAAGCATACACTTAACTTTGATCAATATTTGTGTAAGATGCGAAGATAGAAATTAATTGAAATAAAATCTGGAAGTACTAGATATCTGGTTAACCCTAGTATAGGACTCTTCAGAAGTGAAAGTCGAACCCACGAGAATCCTCCTAAAGTCATGGCTCCTCACTAGAACTTTAGCAGTTTCATCTTAAAGTTAATCACCAGTGATCAAAACTAGGTCGAGGTGACGGCTAAATGGTCTAGTGATCAATCGTCCGCGCGAGCAACCGAAGGTCCTGGGGTTTGATTCCCGGGTGCGAGGTTGTGGGTGTGTACTGCTGAGCAGTTTTATACTAGGCAGAATTGGCTGTGCAGTGCCTGCAGGTTTCTGGTGGTAATCTAGTTAAAATATTTTCGTAATTTAAACAGAACATTCTGCATTCTACTCAAATGCCCAATACTAATAACAACTTAATCCATTGAGAAATATCAAGCAATATCATTTGTCAATATAGTTAAATTGGCTTAATTATACAACCACCTACTTTATGACAAGGCTCATAAGCAAGATTTGGTGAATACACTTGAATTATGAAAGTAAAATATCCGGTCCTAGACATGATGCAACACCCAGCAGCTTGAGAAATTATCAGATATGGCTTAGAATAAGATGCCAGTGGTGGTCGTGCTGCTATAATTTAGTTTCATTTTCTTTACACGCGACCAGTGAAGTTCAACCTGTTCGGGTGTAGACAGTAACTACCGAAGGTTGTGTATGAGGTTGCGCAAATCCGTGAATTTGATCAAGTTAGGCATTAACACCGTTAGATACCGGCTCAGTGGTCTAACGGTTAGGGCGTTCGCGCACGATACCGAAGGTCCTGGGTTCGAATCCTGCGGGGTGCGGGAGTCGTGGATGCGCACTGCTGAGGAGTCCCATGCCAGGACGAAACGGCCGTCCAGTGCTTCCAGGTTTCTAATGGTGGTCTAACATTGATCGATTCATGGTTTCAAAAATGTGTGACTTAACAATCTTCACAACCCCGTAATGTACTTTAGTAAAAGCAAATTCTTTAACTGAAAGAATTCTATTTTTTGATTGTATTTTCTTTAGCCGAACCGTTTCTCCTGATGTTATTACGATTACTTCACTTTTATATTGATTTCTATCGATTTTTTATTTTTTATACTCCCCGCTCTTTTCCTACCGCTTGACAACTTCATTTTTATCGTGGGGCGAGTATATATTTCAGTGTTTGCTTGTGTGTTTTAAATAAATAAATGTCCCAAACAATATGAATTTGATCAGCTCAATTAAATAAACTAACAATGGAGTTGCTTTGAAAAAGACTATATTAACAATCTATACAACCAGGTGACTTTTTTGATGTTTAATAGTATTCTGTAGAAAAGGTAACTAGTTATTGTAAACTCCAAAAAATAGAGCGAAGAAAATAAGAGAAATATACTGCCGTATGATAAAATCATAGTTTCCACCTTTAAGTAGTAATCAGGCGTTTCTAGCGCGATAACCTAACTGAGCCAATATAAAGTGAGCTGGATATCATATCAAGTAGGTGCATTAAACAGTGGATAATACCAAAATTAAAATTCCTACGTTCCAAGACAAAAGTCATGCTGCCGACTATACTGGGGTGTGATGGAAGCAAATTTCTTTTCTCAAGGATAACTAACATCACCAGTGATGTTACCCTCCTAAAATACGAGAGAGATTGGAGAATGACTCTAAAAATAATACACCTCACATAAGCCAGCACATCTGCAGCAGTAGTGTCATAAAAGTACATAATTAATATATTGAGAACTACTCGCAAAAAATCCATATATTATTAATCTCAAGCAACTATCTGTTGAATCTAAAATGTTTGCTTTCAGGTTGAAAAAAAGCAGTACTATTGCAGTATTTTTTCGATATCCTCCAAGAGGATAACTTCTTCCACAGTGAGGACAACTAGAAAGTATCAGTTGCCTAAATTTTTATAACTCAGCTCTGTTTCATATTGTCTAGAATAAGCTCAATTTATTCCCTTCTAGTATTTCTACCTTATTAACAAAGCTCCCTTTCTAGTTTCATCTTCTAATCCGAGAGCAATATATGCAGATGATTTGATCATAGAAAATTCTACCTATGGCCACAATTCCGAGAATTTCTACCATTATGAGCTCTTACAGTTTCAATTGTTTGGATAGATTACAAACGACTGTTGACTGGAACATTATCCAAAAGATCTTGTTACGTTTAAAAATGTATCGTTATACGTGAACTTGCAAGACGATAAAGAGTTGTTGTCAGATCTAGAGAATTGCTATGCTAAACCATTGATTCATTTAATAACATTTCATACCAAATACTTTACTACTATTCCTGAAATGATACCTTATACTAACATTCACTTCAGAGTAGACCTACCCATATTTGAGAACCGTTTTATAGATGCATAAAAATGAACAATAAGTTTGTATGCCTTTACGATACGAAGTTGCACATTAACAATGCATGAGAGTAACAAGTCGCACTTTTTTGTTTGTAGTACAGACATTTTATGGACATCATAAACGACGCAAAATACCCGATAGGTTCATTTTTATTCACACTTAGATTTTATCAGCAATCAACCCTCTCTAAACGTAATGAAAGTAAACCGATCAGCTTACATTTGAACTGAGTCGAAAGCCCTAGTTTGTAGTTTCCCAGTAAAAAAACAAGTACGATGTACGAGAGATTGTTGAAAGAAAACGGAACAAAAGACATGTCACATTCTAGGTGGACTAGAGAATAGTCAAGTAAGCGCTTTAACTGATGAGTTAAGTTTTTTTAATTAGCTTGAATTCCATCTCATCGTAAATATTACTGTAGTTGAATGACAGAAAAAATAAAAAAATAAAAACTTACTAAACCTTCTGGAAATGATCGTTTCACAAAACGACCAGAAGGATGAATAACTAATCCAGGACATAAAGCAATTTTTGGATTCCTTGAAAGATTATGAAAGGAAGGTGTGGTATGTAAATCTCCAGGCCATGATAACACGAACTGTTCACGAATTGTAATATCATCCACTACTACATAATTAGTGATAAATCCTCCCCCATCATGTTTTTCTTTGCATAATTTATCAAAACTAGATAGCAAAACATCTACAATTGTTTTTGATTTAGAGTTTAAAGAGTTAAAAACTTACAGTTATTCGCGGAAACATTACAATTTATAGCATGATAAACTAAGAAAATGCTGATGAGTGCTACATTCTTCATGGACGTTTCAGCATTAAAAATGAGTCGGTCTACCCAATTATCAATAAAATCACTGCTCTTCAGAAAGACTAAATAAATAAGTAAGGAATAGGAGAAATGATTACTGAGAATGAGCTAAAAATAACTACAAATAAATAAATACATCCAATGAAAAACAAACAAGTTGGTTACCATTTCTACCAAGTTAAAACGACAAGTAATAATAATCTATAGTGATTTACATTTTTATGTACTGCTTCCGGCTTGCTGCTTAAAGACTTTATGTCATTCAATGTCAATAAACGTGTCTCCCTAAGAAATGTTGAGCAGCATTAAGAACATGATAAATGATCTGAGATGATCCTGTTTTGTGATAACTGTAATATCATTACCATGATACCATAGGTGTTATCCTGACAAGATCAAATATCCCTATTAAGATGACATAATCAGGGCATACTGCAAGAAACACATTACAGTAAGTAGATCGGTTGAACAGCAGCAAGATTATAAGCGGAAAATATAACTCTCAAGGGTGGGATCGTACTCCAAACTGTACTGAAGTATGACGCGATAAGGTGTTCTCCAAGGTTAACCAGAATCTCCAGGGACGTCTTCTCCACTAACAAACATTCATTCTATTCACGCTTCTATTATTATTTTTTGTGAGCGCCTCTTATCAATTCTCACTTGTATTTATGATGATCATTTAACTGATCTTTAAATGTCTCAAAAATATTTTATTTTTTAGTCGTGACTTGATTATTTATTGTACGGCTGAAAATCTATTATACTCATAATTACGAAGTGCTTTCGGGGGTTGGTAACTGACAAAATATTGTTACAAACTCAATAAGTTTGCTTGAGTTTAACACACCTGAAACAACTGTGATGTACGTGAGGTATCTACCTTCTAACAAAGAGTTTAATATACTATGTAGTCACCTAATTTATTTTGCCCTAAGATTGTGAAATATGACATATGCCAATAGGAGATACTGGTAGGTTGTGAATATCTGTCCACAGGTATCTTGGAAGTATGGCTGATGTGCATTGAGTTAGACAGGCTAACAGAAATGCAGAAATGCATGGTACTAAGGTAACATGTTTGTTATTATTCTCGGTGTACTGAAATGTGGCAACCTTGGCTGTTGTATATGGATGGGAAACCCTACGTTAATGTCCATCCCATTATCATCAAGCATAAAGTGATGTGACTCATTTTAAGTATTTCGTTAAATTAAGACAATCAGTAACTACTATGGAAAACGAGAACCACATCACCAACATGTTTGTTGGTTGAAAAATAAAATACTGATGAAAAAGAACTGTCAGATACGTCTTCGCTAATGTACAACATTTTGTAATTTTAGGCGAAAAGTAAAATTTATAGATCCTGACAGAACTTAAGTTACGTTTCTTTTAAGATAATTTCAAATTAAAAAATTTTAAAAGTATTTGAATTGATTACTAGAAGGCACAAAAAGTAACTTACGAGATAACACGAGTTGGCAGCAAACACTTAACACTAATACTTGATTTCAGAATGTAAAATTAGCTTAAGGTCAATCTCAACATTTAACAGCATTTCGACTTCTACATAGGATATACTACCAAAATAGCCGAAAAAACAAAAATTCGTGGCTTCAAATCAAGCCAATTATTATAATCTGTTCGAATCGATTACTCAGTCGTTTTGGAAGCATTAAAAACTTTCACAGAGCTTAAAAGCGCAAAATTCGGTAAAAAAGATGAACATGACGTATAACAATGTAAATTAACGTTGTAAGGATTTCATGATAGCATAAATCTGTAGAGCATGTGCGAACGTAATTTAATATCCATCTTTAGTTATCGAAATTAAAAAGGCATGTCAATTATATTAATATGGACCAGTGTGTATAATAACTGTATTCTGTATTAGATCGGAGTGACCTTGATCGTTAGATGTACCGCCATATCCCTTCAATATCCAATATTCGCTTAACGAGATTGCATTTAAAAAGGGATTTCTGAACTCTCGATTCTTACTCTTTATGTACCCTGCAAATATTTAGTATCGTCCAACGGATGATAAACTCCGCATCCAGTCCATCTGAAGGTACTGCCTGCCCCGAACCCGGATAAAGAATGAGCGTTGTGAGTCATGACGCCTCATGAGGAAATCCGAGTTCCCTGGAAATCACGTAGCCGATTCCTCTTCTGACAAGCAGAGTATCCATTCTTCTAGGTACATGGAATGTTCGAAAGGTATGGAGGACCGAACGACCATTTCATTTTTCTGCATAAATAAAAACATACAACCTCGAAGTGCTTGGCTTCAGTGAAACACATTGGACAAAGGTAGGACAACTGAGACTAGCTTCGGGGGAACTGCTGTTGTACTCCGATCATGAAGAGGAAAATGCTTCACATACACAAGGGGTTGCATTGATGCTGTTCAAACCAGCACAACATGCGCCGATAGTATGGGAATCTCATGGACCTAGGATCATTAAAGCATCCTTCAAAACAAATAAACAAGACATTACAATGACAACATCACAGAGGTCTAGTAAGGCCCTTCTGCGGAATGCCGTAAAACTCAACGAATTCAATATTGCCTTCACCAATAGGTTCCAGGCCTTGCTCAATCTACTCAATGGAGAGGAAACAGCCACGGAGAACAATTGAAATGGGATCAGGAAAGCAATCACTTCAACCTGTCAGGAGGTTCTGGGCCACAGGAAGTACCATCACAAGGAATGGATCTGTGTTGGACTTCTTGATAAATTTCAAGAAAGCACGAACAGGGAGGCAGTAACCAACACAAGCCGAACAAGATCAGAGAGAGTCAAGGAACAAGCTGAATACATAGAAGCAAACAAGCAAATGAAAAATAACATCAGAGCCGACAAACGGAAATATGTGGAAGATCTAGCAGTGATGGTGGAAAATGCTCCAACAGAAGAGAACATAAGAAAATTGTACTATACAACAAACAAGCTCGCTGGAAAATATCGTAAAGCAGAAAGACCACTGAAAAGCTAGAAAGGCAAAGTAATCAGCGACACAGGTAGGTAGAGCACTTTGAGGAACTCTTGAATCAACCCCTCACTTGGAACCCTCAATATCAAAGGAAAAGTGGAAGATGAATGAACAAATTACCTTGAGGAATTTAAACAGACATGAGTTAAATGGACGAAAATTCGGACAGAACTGGCGAGTTCCAGGACACAGTAGGTTGGAAAATACTAATCGGTAGCTTATGTTGTGGTTTTTCAGTGGTTTCTGAATTCGGAAGAACAGTGGAAGAAGTTAGATACGCGCCTTTCCCATTTAATCCAACAAAAAGCAATTTATCTGGGTAAAAAAGGTCCTATTATTAATTACTTAATATAAATAATTACCTAAACAATATTACACTGTTCTTTAACACAGCTTAACACAATGTGTTTCCAATTCTGGAAGAATGCTTGCGTATAAGTCCAAAATTGCACTCTTCCAGTTCCGATTCAAACTTCACTGCCAGGGTGTCAAATCCGATGTGCATGACACCATAATTAAGTATCAATTTAAACAGCATAATACAGTTCAGTAGAAAACATAGAAACTCCAATAAAGGTCCAAAAATTGAAACTACAACAAAATACAAATATTTACATCACAAAACGGTATTAAACAGAATACCAAAATGCAACACAGAAGGAGTCAGTATATGGAGGGATTTTCCCCTAAAACAAAACCTTCAAAATGGATTCTACAGCGTATACTCCATTGTGTGTAACAGGTGTAGGTAAGTAAGTAATGAATGATCTTCTTGAGGGTTACCTCATGGGTGCGGCTTCGGCAAGATTCTGTGGTTTGGATGATTTGACGTGCTTTATGTGTTTTACCCGTAAGTCAGAGAAAAGAATCACAAGTGCAATAGGCTATCTGCGTTTTGTTTGTTCTTCAGCTCTATCACCAATTTAGTTTCTCATCTATATACTCGATCAAGAAGATTTATGTCTCTTTTAAGGGGAAGCTGTGCTAGGGCGTTGTGAACCCCAAGGTGTAGGCCTGTGTATGTCTTAAATAGCGTGAAGAATAAGTGTGGGTTGATTGCACCAAATTGTGGTTATTAAACAGAGATCGCGCTCTAGGGAGACCTTAGGCGGATGGCTTTCACGTTGGGCAGGTTTAGTTTTGACCTGTTTTCCACTGCCTTATCTTCGATTAATGTAACGTACTTTTGAAGCTCAGCTGAATCTTCTTCGCTTCTTATGGATCTCCAGATCTTTGCATCGTCTGCATAGATTAATGACAAGGATTTAATTTTATACTAGAGGTCATCAATAAATATCTGGAAGAGGGTTGGACCTAAAAGGGTTGCCTGTGAAACTCCCGATATTGAAACTCACCAGTTCATGTGCATTCTATTTACCTTGATGCGAAAATTTCTATTCCCAAAGTATTTTCTTAGCCAACATGGAGGTAGATCAATGAAGCCTATTTTCACAACCTTCGCTTTTTGGAGTAGGTGGAGTACTGTCTCAAAGTCTTTCGCGAAGTCAATAAATAATTTACGAACTGGTTTTTCTGGTCTCAGAAGGTTTTCTAGCTTCCCCATGATAAGAGAAAATTCGATGCATGTGACATGCCTTTCCGAAACCCGTGTTGGGCTCGATGGAGGATTTTGTTCTTATCCATTTACTCCATTATTTTTTTATTCACCAGTCCATTCATTCTCTTCGACAGTAAGTTCAATGACTTAAATCACTGAACCTTCACCCATAAGACCATGGATGGCCCACAGATGACCTAATAATTCATAAAATTCTAATCACTACTGACCGTCCCTTGAAGTTCACTTTGAGTGAAAGCTTTATAAATTCCACGCAGAACTGCATGAAACGTTTGATGGGGCTGATCAGATACCTTTCAAACATCACGTCAAGGAGCATGAGCTTCAGAGAGGCACTGCTAAATGCTTCATGGCGACAGGAATAATGAAGGCTGAGAGTAGATGACCACTGGCAAACAGTGAGACCTAATCCAGAATGCTGTGCTAAAAATGTCCACAGACCCGGAAACAGAAGATCATGGGTTAGGTGAGGCACTGCCACAGGAGTAAACGTAGAGCCCTGCAAAAACAGAATGTCTATCTAAAGAATTTCGACCGTAGTTCTCACTTGGCATGAGAAAACAGATGAAATGCCAAAATTCGAAGTGATAGAAAGACAAATCCAAATGAACCTAAATGCCAAAACAGAGGTATACCCAGAATACCTGTTAAGGTTCTCAACAAACAGCAAATCTACAAACCAGGGTATTTCTGACGTCAAGTGTCCAAAAGACTGAGGTATTACTAACTTAGAGATGACTGATCTACTCAACAACAGCATTACCGATCGACTAAACCAAGTACCGACAGGTTCAGAGACTTACACAAACTTAGTTCGAGCTGACGGAAAAGAGAATAACAAAAATACTTCTGAATTCGTACTACTGCATTGAGACAGGTTGAAGTACTGAGCAGAGGTAGTACAATGAACACAACAGAATGACTAATTGCGAAGTGATAGGTTATTAGGACGAGGTGGAGGATGACTCGTATACGTCCACTCTAGCATGAACTTACTTTTATGTGATAGGTCAGAACTAAACAAACTGCAGGATTCTGTGTAGATCGTTCTGAAAACATAAAATGAAGTTTCCTTATTGGTCGGCCTTTTTTAACGTCAACCTAATACACCAACGGTTGATCTGGCAATAGTGTCAGAAATATTCGCGTCTGTTTCATCCCTACCGTTTACAGGCAAGGTTATTTTTGGAGGCTTAAACATGCCTGAAATTTCTCGGTTCCCAATCAAAGCATCAAAATAACTTGGATCATTTTTAGAATGCTTAAAGCTTGGAGGATGGACTCAATGTGTTGAAGACCCAACCATACATCACAATATACTGGATTTAGTTTTCACTGGTAACCTCATCCGCAATAGCGTATCCGTTGTAAAACATTTCCCAGGTAGCGATCAAAATATCGTCATATGCAGTCTTTATATAAAAGCTACAACTATAGAACACAAAACTACCACGCTCCATAGGGACTATATTATGACTGATTGTTCAAACTTCCAAAATTGCCTCGGAGACATTAACTAGACTGCCTTCATAACTGTGAACACTATCGTTGAACGAACAGGCATATTTTATCACAACCCGAATAATATCTTCGGTAAAAAAGTATTCAGATCACTTGATAGATGACGTTTACAATACCATATGCTTGAATACTGGTGTCCCATAGTTTGGTCGGTTTGGTCGACTTGAACCTCTATACCACTGTGGCCTAACATATATTGTATAGTAATTTAAAACCAAAAGAAAAGAGGAAGTCCAAGGAATACATGAGACGAGTGAACGAAAACTGGAAAGAACTGGAAACGGAAGCTCAGTACATAGTTGGTTGGAGAAAACTGGTCGGTGGCCTATGCTCCATTGGGAGCAATTTAAGTAATTTAAGTCCATTGCACGTATGCATTAAATGATTAAAAACTAAGAATGTTCGCTTTTTAGAAGCAAACTGAAGCGGGTACGAACGATATCAGCATAATACCATACAAATGAGAAATTTCTTAAAATACATATACCACGTAAAAAATGTTACCACTTACAGAGTACGCGCACAACGGACTGCACACTGTGTATTTGCATACTACTAGATGCATAGGTGTGATGTCGGAGAAAAAAAGAAGAGCTCTTTATTGACTCTACTTGAAATATCAAGCAGTTTTTACATTTCGGTGTAAAGAATAAAGATGAGAGTTTTGCTGAACAAAGGAAGACAGTTCTCATATAATTTAAAACCTCCAAATACAGTTTCAACTGACCTAGATTATTCCAACAACGTGATTAGGCCGTGATTTATTCATGATCTTGGTTTCATAAGCATAGACGTTCTGAAAACGCCTTCAAACTACATAGGGGAGCCAGCCAAGGCTGACGTAACAGTTCACTTTATGCGAAAAAAACACACCTCGAAGCCCAAAATATTTTCAGACTCACTTCCGTTAAAAGAGGCATGAATCTGTTGGTAAAGTGAAGAGAGTAGCAACTAAATCGGTGAGGTTAGAAGAATAAACCTTATGAAGATAGACTTCAACACCTGCGATCATTCCCTCTAAGCCATACTAGAGTCAGACGTGATCTGATTGTGGAGAATAAGATATTAAGTTTGTCTCTCCGATGCAAGCATTCTGCCAGAACATCACCACTGTGCCCCTCGATTTATTCCCCGGAAAAGTTTCACATCAAACGGCAAATATCCATGTACGCACCAAGTTTTGCTTGTCTCAATTTTGTCCGAACTAGGAATGCTGTTTCAGCAGGAATGACCACAGCCCCTTTGATGGACAACTTCAAGAAAACCGCGTACTCACATATTTTCATCTCTGTCTTGAACCAGCTGTGCCTTAAGCACACCTCAAAACTCGCTAGTTATTATCGTTCTTATCTCCTTAGATTATTGACTTATTACTCGCCACTTATTATTATTTCTGTTTCCTCTTCTTTGCTTGCACTTCTGTCCTCTCTTACAATCATCACTACCGATCAAGTAATCAGTTTAACTATTTAAATGGTTCTGAAAATTTTCCCTTCTGATTAACATCAGACTTTTCCCCTTAATATTCTACACTCTGCAACCAAAAACGTGATAGTTACTGGTACCCAGAAACCAGTCTGCCTTGAAACAAACGCACTCATTCCAATCACGGGAAGTACAAATTCGTAAATACTTCCAACTGTATAGAATGAGTGCAATCGGCCGGCTAGACTACCACCCACTGGACATTACTGAAGACTCGGAGCGAACCAAAAGAACGAGAATCTAGCTCAAAAACACTCAGTTTACACTAACTTTTGAAAAACATGTGATATTGGTGTTTAATATAACTAATAATAAGGAGTCATTCTTTAGCCCTGAGTTAAGTAGAAGTGAGCAAGCTTTTACCATGTCTCTGTAAAGATTTTGGATATTGCTCATAAATATTCAGGGTTGTTCAACATCTACTGGCGGGTTATTGAAACCGATGCGACATAAAGTATCGGGTTATTAATGGGATGTGGTAAAAATTGATGACTGGTGAAGATCAGTAATATACTTCATTATCATGGACGTTCGGAATCTTCCAGAACGCCTTGCGGAGTATTTTGTTATATGTGGCTTGCCCAAGAATCCCCGTACATATGACGTTTCGAAGGTTAGCGTCGTGACTACCAATAATGTATTTATAGATCCTCACTCATGCTGAGGAGATAATTGCTCCCGATACTGCAATTGACTTCACACGATTTCCCGAACCCATTGTTGATATTAAGGTGGGGTAAATCATCCCAGCTATCCAACATATTTTTATAGATTGTGAGTCTGAAAGAGAAAGAAGAAATACCGCCAGGTTATACTTGCATTAAATACAGTGTTTCCGGAAAACATAAAGCCAATGTCCTTCTGAATTTCGGGGAAGAAGCCTGTATATGTTATCGTCGAGGACGAGACCAACCGTTCATAAAGGATATCGAGTACGTTTATTAGCGGTTATCTTCAGTTTACTTACATGTTTTACATCTCTTGTATCTACTGTTCACTCAGCCCCACTTTTGACTTGTCTTGGTTGCGGCACTCAACCGCAAAATAGAATATAGTACATCTGCACACCAGTCCAAGTTGCCAAGCGCAAGTGTGCAGATTTGTATCCTCATTGATACTAATTTTGACCCTCACTATAAGCCTAAATCCTTCAGACTTGACCTGACCTGTTCCTAACAGTTACCTTAATTCATTAGTCAGACTGATGCATTGTAAAGACTCAAAAATGCCACAATTTGGAATTTCGCCCGTCAAACTCGTGGAATGCTAACCAGGTCTGTTGCGACCATTCGTTCTCATCAAGTGCAAAAACACTGATGAATACATCTTTTGAAATGAGAGCATGCATTAACTTAGCTGTCAGTTGTCATCAGCATCATCGATAAGGCTAACCTTTGGCTTTCAGATTTTTTCAGGAATTATTTATGAAGATAATACGCAACAACAAAGGCTGAAGTTTAGTACAAACGAAGTTGTGTATTATATAAATATAACAAATAGTAATGAAGCGTTTTAATTGCATAATGGAGTAAGCAGTTATTCGTCACACCCTCTACGTGTCAAATTTATTTTCACATATCCTTAGTGTACGTAATTTATTTGACAGTGTCAAATTTCAAGTATTCAATATTCACATTTTCCTTCACCTGATTTGTTCTCGATTTAAAATTATTTACAGAGTTAAAATTAATAGAAATGTCTTTAAATTTTGCCATTTTACCTTCTATTCCCCAAAGTATAATCCTTTTAGATGATCAGTAATCATTTCTTCAATAAAACTAACTCTTAAAGTATTATTGGGCTTGTTACACCCACGACGTAAAACTTCAGCTAACCCTCACCAGCCTGGGGGATGTTGTGCATAATGATAATAAAGCTGAACAACTCGTTTCTTTAGTTCTTTATTTATCAGATTGACTTATATACTGGTACTCATTTTTCCATCAAATAATTTGACTAAAGATAATTCAGATCTCTACCATTAAGCGAATTTTTAAAATTCTCTATGTAATTAGTTCTCTTACCCATTATTAATACACTAGTTATTTCCAGCCAACTAGATGTCTCCACCAATGATCTATGAAGATCAGCACGGGCTGACCGAGTTTTTGCCTTAGCGCGAGGCTTTCCACCCTTACTTCGTCCACACATTGTCAGTTAGAGCAGAGGAACTTGGGCACTGAATTATACTTCCCGATTAATCAGTCAATAGCAACGTAGAACTTCGTGCGTACTTACGTACGTACATCAGTTCATTTTGCCATACCACATTAGCACAGAGATGTAATTGTCAATTCACATCTAATAGTAGTAGAGGTAGTAAAGGTATTAGCAGTAATCGGAGAGATTAGGGTTCGAAGATATTATTCAAGAAGTAGAATCTAGTGAAATAAACTTAAAAAGGAAAAGTGATGCGGAATTAAAAAGTTTGAGGTTTGAGAGAACACTTCGGGGCTACTGCCGGTCCCAATCTCGGATGAAGGAGGAGGGTTAAGCTTCAGGTTGGTGACCCCATCCCGGAAAAAACTAACTTGCCAAAAGAACGCCGGCAAGAAAAAAATGCTTCTCGAAGCTTTACATTGTAACTAACTGACTGACCAATGATCTCTGAGTAAACTTATTATTATTTCTAGACATTAGGAATAGGAGTTAATCATAGCTAAATTATGACACGAGTCGAGAAATGGACCTCAGTAATTAGTCTGAATACTTTGTGACGATTCAGCTGTAAACGATTATGCTTTCTCTGGGCGTTTGTTAAACCAGCAAAACAAGTTTTTGGGCTTTTGCTTATATCAGCACCAATCTTAAGCCACTGATATATCTGATCCAATTGAATCCATTTTATTCTACTTCCAGGTGAGAAAGAATGATCACCTAGTGCTACAGATCTGAATATTATGCTATTTGGGCATAAAATTCCTGAGGATGCAATTATGTTTCTTCTCTCTATAAACTGTCTGAAATCATGTAATAGATGGAGTTCCTGTTATGGTATATTATAGGGCCGTGTCCTCATGTGACTATATATCACGTGATTATCTTAAACGCGCGTTATAACAAAATCATTGCATTCTGGTACACATTAAGGCCCTTCGCAACTGACAAATATTTGTACTTTAGACGAAAAGATATCGGGTTGGATTTTTGAAGTATCGAAAAAATCATTGTCAGCGTTGTCAAACCTCATACGTAATGCAACATTTTTTATTTGTTTGAAAAGTACAAGAAGATATCCGCAAATCGTTTTTCACGTTTCTTGATAATTGTATTGACAGTCAAGTTTTTACGGAGTTTTCAAATAATTCTCATTAAAATAGTTTGTAATTTAGGTCAGACAGATTTTTCTTTTGCTGCGTTAATTTATTTCAATAATCGTGATTTGGTTAAAGTTTACTTAAAAAATCGGAACCATTTCTCTTCTATCCTAAATCAATAGCACATTGGGAGAAAAACAATGCCCCAAGACAAATGCGGTGGTTTTGTCAAGGACTATTGGAGGTCGTGCTGCGGACTTGCCCAGTTCTTTGACGAACCGTCTATTTTTATCATATCTACGAGGTACTGCAGAAAGCAGCATTGATTGCCTAGCAGTAACTGATCTATGTATTGTCATTCCGGAAAAACAAGAAACATGTCCTCCGGCCTACCGACAAGTCACGGAACCTATATGCATAAGTTCTGTGAGTTCCAATTTTTCCTTAATTTTGTTTGGATATTTTTAAGAGTTTTGATGTTTTAATGCTTTGTTTCAAGCTCACCTCATATCAGTTATCTATGTAACTAACATCCAAAGACTTCGGTTAGGAACTTGTTCAAAATTGCTTTTTCGAAGACTCTTATCCCATATATTTTAAAAACACTACAAGTAAACACATAAATTGTGAATGTAGTTCTTGATTAAGCTTGTTCATTTACTAAACCCACAAATAATTCATCTATAATAAAAACTCTGCACCACTCACATACAATGATGAGCTGATCATAGTGTATTTTGAAGCGTTTTTGTATCTAAAATAGCGGGATCATACAGTTATATTATTCGAACAACACATATAAGTGAACAATATTGTTTTTGATCAGATCGTCATCAGGTTTCATTCGTTGATATACATGAATATTTGTATTCTTTACTGTCTAATTATGTACACACTTGTTATTACGTAATAGTTTTAATGTTTTGTAATGATTATTTTTAGTCTATTTACGCACGTTTGACCTACTATTGATACAATTTTTGTTATCGTATTTTATTATTCTTACCACTACACTTGTTTTCCTACTATCAACTTGTACTTTTGCCTATTATGTTTGTAGTGACGTAATCTATCTCATTACATTATGATTATTGACTCAAATCGCCCTGATTAGTTTAGCATTTTCATATCAATATCCATGTACATTAGAGTGAAGCCTGATGACGATCTAATCGAAAATAATATTGTACTCTTATATCTGTGTTGTTCTTGTTATATTATTTCTGTACCCTTTATGTTAACCACTTACTACCCATTTGTTAGAAGAGTACCTATAATCCAGTATATTTATTTTTACACCATCCATAAGACAACTAATAATTAGTATTTCTTGAGTTCTGCACTATGTCCTTGAAATCATTATCTCGAGGACGATTTATTCATCAGTACACTACATTCTTTTCTATTCAGATGTTTAATGTAACTACCGCGTGAAATACACGATTTCTTGGTTGCGCTTAAATATGTAATGTATTTTGGTTGTGAGCGTAAACATGTAGCCTAACTTGTGAATCTTGTTAAATTAATACATCTATCTCATAGAGCTGACTGATTATATTTCAGTGCATAATAATCTTGCTGTTGCTTTATATTCCAATTTTCTTTCATTATAATTAGTTCCCCCGGTAATTTGTGTTTTATTCTCACTTTTAGTTCAGATTGAAAGCCTATATTTGTTATCGTAAATCACTTGTAAAAGAATGTATCATTTCCTATGAACCTGAAGTATTATATTGGTATAGAGTTCCAAGCGCTGATTGCAATTTTTCAAATGTCAATGTACATGATGAAACATCTAAATATCCCTTGGTTGTTTCTTCTGGTAAACAACAGTCAACTGATCCTCCGGAAATGTGTGATCAACTCAACAAATTGGTGGATGATAAAACCTGTGCAGATGTTCCATCAGGTATGCTATTCTTTTTTAATAAAAAATATTAAATTATAAGTAAAACTGTAAATTATTGGTTTCTATGTTAACCGATCGATTAACTCTTGAATTGTAAACATTCAATATTTCATCTTATAATATGAAAAAAAAATCATATTGAACATTGAAAAAGTGCATTCACAACAACATGTCAAGTCATTTTGTTTCAATTAGTATGTCATGATGTATGTGATTCACATTAAAGCCATAATTAAATAGCATGATATTGCATTTTTTTCCCCTAGTTAATAATAATTAACCAGTTCAATGTATTCTAACAAAATAATTTCATATTTTTTTATGCATTTTATAAATTGCAACAAAAAGTACGAATTATTAAAGTGTAAATTATCTGACTGCGTATTACTCTATTGAGAATCAAAACTGAATCAAATGTAGCTTATTTTAACATTCTGAATGATTATTTATCTTGATAATTATTGTTACTCTTCAATAACGGATTTGTATAGTTTCAAAATGTATTCAATTGATTTGTTTGTGAGAAATTTCATTTGACTGATTAATAATCCTCTCGGTTAAAATTCAAAATTTTTTTTAAACTAAATAGGCGACAGTTTCATCTTTATCCAACTGAAACAATAGATTGCAAGAAATTAAACGTTATATAACCATGTGTTATGGGCAGAGATAATGGGATACTCAACTAATTGTTTATGTTGACTAATTTGTCTTTAAGGCACACATCTTTTCTCAAAGCTATTAATCTAGTTGCATTACGTTGTAATTTAATACTGATAAAAGAATTTTTTAGAGGGATTTTGAGGGTTTTTCCGAATTATTCGTTCAAAAACTACACAGGGAGTAGTTTTAAGTAAGACCAAAGAAAAAATACCCTTATGATTAGTTTCCTATAGTTTGTTTATCGTGTTATAAATGTTTCATATTATAAATCATTGTCATAACATGAAGTGATCATTTTGTCCGGTCCGTCGAGCTATTTTTTGCGGTGTAGCAGTAAGTTGGCAGAAAGCTAGGGGCCGCCAAACCAAATCACGGCTCAAATCCATGAAGTTATTGACAGCTGAACTGAGCCATGTTAGTAGATGTAGACTACCTGGTTGGGGTACGCGAGACAATCATAACCGATTGTTAGAGACTTTGAATGACATGGTTCAAAATCGTTTGCAATAGCGCAGGTGCATTCACTCTTTGTGTTCTCACAAATTCTAACCTTATCACCTCTATCCTTCTCTTTCTAAATTTATCTCACTGAATTGTACTTCTTGAATAATGTCTTCGAACCCTAATCTTCTCCATTAGCGCCAATACTTCTACTATCTCTACCACTACGGGATTCAAACTGACAATTGCGTCTCTGTTCTAACGTGGTATGGCAAATGATGTATGTACGTACGAAGTTCTTCGTTATAATTGACTGACTGACTGGAACTCCTGATTAACCGACAATATAAAAGAAAGACAACCCTTTGTAAGCTGAATAAAATTGTCCTCAGATTAAACATGTAGGTGATTATCATTGCTAAACGAAGAACTCACTAACAAAAACCCTAACCCTTAATTGAATTTCTCACTTAACATATATCTGATCATTGAAACAGTATATAATTTGTTCAGCATAGTCCGATATATCACGGATATCATGCATAAAGTTAGTAATTTACCAATCAATTTTGTTTGGGTGCATTCATGCTTCATTTACGATCCATTGATTTTTGCACACTGAATTCATCAATCATTGTTAGAACACTATCGGAAATCTGTAAGCACTGGACGGTCGTTTAGTGCTGGTATGAGACTTATCATCAGTACGCAGGATTCGAACCCAAGAAATTTGGTCTTGCTCGCGAACGCCTAAACTCCGGACGACTGGGCAGGCATCCAATGGTGTTAATGTCTAACTCTGATCAATCTACAGATTGACTGACTGACTGATATTGAAATTCAATTTATTTCATTAAACACAATCAACAGAGATGTAACATTGTTTGTTACTACTTTCTACCGTAGAATTTAAACTAAAATCCTTTTTTATTTTCCTCATTCTTTCCTATTTTATTCATGACCGCTAAAGAGTCTCAAGTTGCTCCATTAGATCCGGATATATTTCAAGTAGCGAATTTTTGTCTCCCATGGGGTGCATCCATTGAATCATGGTCTGTGAATCAAAATCCACCTGAAGTGAATTCATTTACATTTATGCTTACTAATGAAGCTTATCAACAGGTTGGTGGTATTGATTTTTATTTTTTGTGTATTTATTGTTGTTGATATTATTATTTTTTCATTCATGACTCTTTTACTAACACATTCACTTCAGTTTTGGCTAATTACAATCTGTTTATTCTTCATAATTAGTTTGGCTGAAATCCAGCCCTGAACTTGATAATCTAAGTTGCTCTTACTTTATTTCGAAGTATTTTTTATATTAAAAATGAAACCCTGAAAGGTACATGAAGACTGTCAGTTTGAATAACATAGTTGATGAATAAAACTAACTTTAAAAAAGCAGTAGAGAGTTTCTTAAGGAAAAAAATTATGAATAGTTCAAGTGAATTGTTTATTGATAAATAATTTGCAATATAACTCTGAAACATTATTTAGGTGTGTTGAAGAGCTGTGAACTATTCCTCAGAAAAGTCTTTCGAAGCCTAGAAATGCCCGGAAAGCTTTTCATCCAGTCAGCATTTTTTTGTCAGTGATTTCATGGATTTCTGCCATGTTTTGGTTTGGCCGCCCCTACCCTTCTTCGCATCTTCTCCTACATTAGGAAACATCGCTCGTCGAGGCAGTCGGTGGTTAGACATACGTAACACATGTCCTAACCACATCAGCTGATGAAGTTTCACTACATCACTTGATGTGCCATCCCTACCTAGTAATCGTTTCCTAAAGACAGCACTGCTTATACGGTTGTCCCAGGATACATGAGCAATGCTTCGGAGACACCTATGATCGAAAACCAGTAACCTACGAATATCTTCTACTCTGACTGGCCATGTTTCACAGTCATAAAGTAGGACGGAGCGAACTGCTGTTTAGCAAACGGATATCTCGCCTGCGCCATAGGTGATGCATGTTGGCAAAAGCCAATCGAGCTTTCTGTATCCGTTCTGAGATTTCGTCAGTCACCAGGCCGTCAGCACTGATGAGACTCCTGAGATAAGTGAAGCGGTCTACATGCTCGAATACTTCACTCCCCATCAATAGTTCAGGTACCGATGCGACCCAGTCTTGAAGCATCGGCATCGGAACTAAGTTATTGGATAAGAAAGATTCATCTATAAGTAGCTGGGAAATCCTGGTTATCAGCCATTTCTTGTTTTCAGTTAGAGTTATGAAGATCAGTGTTTTTTCAAGTTGGAATCATCAATTAATCATTGTTAGTCCACCATTAGAAACGTGGAAGCACTGGACGCACGTTTCGTCTTTTGGTAGGACTCATCAGCAGTGCGCATCCACAACTCCTGCTACTCGTAGTGACTAGCTTCGTGAGGAAATTCTCGGAGTTTTAATGACAAGGCGTGACCAGTGAAGTTCAACCGTGTCGGGTGTAGACAGTAACTACCGAAGACAAATGGGTGAGGTCGCGCAAAATCCCTAAATTGATCAGAGTTAGACATTAAGACTGTTGGATACCGGCCCAGTGGTTCAGAGGTTAAGCATTTGTTTTTACCTAGCGTCTGGGATCCTAAGGGAATGGTTGACGTATATAAACCTGTTCGTGGTCATCGATACCCATGGAACTGCATCGCCTAACGTTGTTCTACTACAGTATGTTTTAGATTTTTAAGTCAAAAACTCGTAAAATGGCCACCTACTAAAGAAACCATCAGCCTCGGTCTGGACGCCTATACAGTATCCAAGGCCATACACTACGAATTTTATTTTGTTTGATGTATATTATTATCGGTACCCAGTCGATAAGATTTTATATGAATTGAATGAAAAGAGTTCTTCATCACTCACTAGTTTGCCATAGGCTTCCAATGCATATAGACAGACGAGAAATATAATTTGTGAAACAAAACAGCCAATAAAAACAAATGATAACTTGGATAAATTCGTTAATCAATTCATTGAAAACACAAATCAATGAGTGTGTGTAGAAAAAGTTAATTTTACAATTGTATTTCCTCACAGTATACTTTTTAGTTACATGATTATTTGTATTTTAGCGACTTTAAAACGTGATAAAACTCTAATTTTGATTACACGACCGACAACTTTGTCTGTTCACCCGTTTCGTAACCCTGCATTCGATCTTTTTTTCGCTTCAAATACCGTTTTATCATGTTTTAGCTAGCTTTATGTTTGAATGGTTTGGACAAATATTAAAATTCGATTTAGTTTTTAGCACAGAATTGACGTTTAGGTCCGTAAAAAAATAGGGCCATTAATGTTAAATGATCTTGAAAACAAAACAGTCGACCGAAATCCCTGCCTGACCTATGTATGCTTCATCCTGATCATAGCACTCACATTCATCAACAAGCCATACTTGTAATCTTCTTAAACGCACTGATTGATACTCCAGCTTGACACAGTCTGTGAAACATTGCCACTAAGCTATTTGGGTTGCAGCTTAAGCGACAGAATTCAATAAACAAGCACTAAATTCCCGGACAATTTTGACATTGGTTTAATTACTCCATGATCAATGAATTATTTGTCAGTCAGTCAGCTACAATGTAGACTTTCGTTTGTACGTACTTCAGTTCAAGTTGTCAAACCACCCAGGCACAGACAAATGGGATTGTTAGTTCAAATCACATAGTAGTAGAGGTAGTAGTAGTGTTAGCAGTAATTGGAGAGAGATTAGGGTACGACAATATTATTCAAGAATTAGAATCTAGTGAAAGAAACTTAAAAAGAAAAAGAAAATGGTGATGAGGAACTCTGAAGGTTATGATTTGAGAAAACGCAAACAATGAATGCACCCGACTCCTAACAGCAGCAGAATAATCGAGCAATGGTTCTAAGACATGTGTGATTGAATACTAGAAGCCTGCGAATACCCTCGCTTCTTACCGCCCATGTTTCGCATCCATATAGTAGGACGGAGCGAACTGCTGTGCAGTAGACTCGTCCTTTGATTAGCAGGCAGATATTTCGCCTACGACACAAGTGACGCAAGTTGACAAAAGCTAGTCTAGCCTTTTGTATTTGTGCTGAGATTTCTTCAGATGCCAGGCCATCAGTACTGATGAAACTGTCAAAATATGTGAAGCGGTCAACACTCTGAACCGCTTCACTCCCTATCGCTAGTCCATGTTTCATTGATTATTTATGGTACATAAATTCCAAAATAATAATTAGAATTGATTCATTTTGATGTGAACTAATCAATTGAATAGTATGTGGCTGGTTGACATTATAATAACTTTCAAAACTCAATATCGTGTTATGAGTTTGATAGTTACATTGCATTATTGTTGTTGTCATTGATTTCTTTTTCTCTGTGTGTTTATATATTTTCATTCTCTAGCTTTATGGTGTTGCACTTACATTCTATGAACCGTATATTGAAGAATTAGATCTGCATAAATGTTATTGTTTAGGAATTGATCCTGAATTAGTGAATGCTAAATCTAGCACCGATTCAACAAATACTGAATATGATGATGCTGCTGAAGAGGCAATCGCTAAACGACAACGTCATTTTCTAGTATCTCGTGTTGGTGATCGTGTGATTGGTGTGACAAAAACGCTTTGTATACTTTCTCGTTGGTCATTTACTTTACCATTTTCAAATTTTTTGGGATTTTTATATAGTCGATGCTTGTTGCCAAATAAATTGGATGATATTCCATTTGAGAGGTAAGAGCATTTTTGTTTTTTTGTACGTATACGTATCGATGATATGCACTTGTTACAGTCAGTTAGTCGAAATCAGAGTTTATCCACACATTTGATTTGCTTTGGTTAAATTTGAACATGGTATAAATCACAGTATCAACCGTGCTCATCAATAATACTGCCCAGGGGTGTAAAAACCTCTACATATTCGAGCAGTATCATTAATGAGCACGGTGGACCTGATGACGATCTGAAGGCACGGATCGGCAAAGCAAGGGCAACATTTCCACAATTAAACAATATCTGGAACTCCAAACAAATATCAATCAACACCAAAATCAGAATTTTCAATACAAATGTCAAGACATTTCTACTGTATCGAGCGGAAACTCGGAGAACTGCAAAAGCTGTCATCCAGAAGATACAACTATTTATGAACAGTTGTCTATACAAAATACTTCGGATTCGTTGGCTAGACACCATTAGCAACAACCTATTGTGAGTGAGAACAAACCAGATTCTGGCGGAGGAAAAAATCAGGAAGAAGCGCTGGAAATGGATAGGACAAATATTGAGGAAGACACCCAATTACGTCACAAGATAAGCCAACACTTTTAATCCTCAAGACCAAAGAACACACTACTCCGAGAAATGGAGACTGACATGAGAACAGTTGGACAGAACTGTAAAGTAAGGCCTAGGACAGAGTAGGTTGGACAATGCCAGTCGGCTGCCTATGCTCCATTGGGGGTAACAGGCGTAAATAAAAGTAATTAATTAATTACTAACACGATTTGTAGCTTAAAAAAGTGTCCATTTCATTTTTTTAAAAATTATTCACCCAATTCAAAAACTAAGATAAATAGAAGGTTTGACATACATTTATTTGTTAGTCAATTTGATGAAATGGATATTTAAAATGCGACAAAATGTCTATAATATATATATATATATATATATATATATATATATATTTATGTAAACCTCACTAATAAGCCTCACTACTTACTCAAGTATAACTAATCAATAGTTTAATCTAAAGCGAAATAAGGCGAAGAATTGTTAAGATCATTTATAGATCTGTTGTTCATTTATGCAAATGAATATACAAACTTCAGTTTTCAAGCTTCTTGTTTACCCCTAATGGAGCGTTGGCCGCCAAACAGCATTATATTTTCTGGTTAGCGTTTTTGTAGCGCGTTGACATTTTATGAGATGGGTTCGATAACTGCTTATTATAATGCATCGCCAAATATTATACACCGCGAAATTCTACCGATTGATCAAATTCAGATATTCCATTACGCGACTCCAACTACCGTTTCTCAAATACAGAAGAATAAAAAGACTTTACAGACAATGCCTATTTAATACAGTTAGGACGATCGTAAATATTGACCAATAGGAAAACGTCATGTGACATATGTGAAGAGTCTGGAAACATGTGAAAACATATGATTTCTCGTCTAATGATAGAATTAGTCGCACAAAATAATATTTAGGATATTTTTATGAATATCCCAACACTAACCCCATGCTCAACCCTTCTTCCTTTATTTATCCGCTCTTGGGACTAGCAATAACTGCAGAGAAGGACTCCAGGCTGAGTTTGTAATGCATTCATTGGTGGTGAACATTTAAAATATTTATTTCTTCATTATTTAATTCCTTTGTTTGTAATTTCATTTAAAAGTAAAGTGATGTCTTCTCAACAAAATAAATATCGACAATTCTTTTTTGCATAATTCAAGTGACAAATTAACCTTAGTTAAGAAACTTTGACCAATGGACTTTAATAATGTTGTGCATGAGATAGTTGTCTACCCTAAGTACTGGTAGCTATTCACGTCATATTGAGAGTTGATTAACGTCAGATATGTTGTCCAACCGATGTACATATGTACCAAGTTCTACGTTGTAGCTGACTGACTGACTGAGACATGTACTCCATTGAATGCCGGCTCATTGGTTAGAGTTGTCAACTGTTAATATGCGAGGACATACTAGAACAAAAACACTTATTCAGTACATTCTAGTTTTAAACAGACTGCCGACTTAAGTCAATTCGTGATATCAATAAAATTAAGACTTTTGATGTCCTAATGAATCAATCCTCTTGTTTGTAATTTTCATTAAGAGTGGTACTTTTTTTCCCCAATTATTATCGACAGTTGTTTTCATTTATCATTTGTATTAAATTTTTGCACTTGTCTAGGTATTTAGGTTACTTTTTGTTTGAAATTCCTTTTCCTGATCGATTAATACCAAATGTATCTGTCGATGTAAGTCTTATTTTTTTCGTCTCGCCTTAGATTCATAGATATAGCTAATGTTGTTTTAACGTAATTGTATCAAATGTTTTGAAGAATGTGAAATAATGATAAACTGCGTCATACTTTAGAACCTTTTGGCTTTTTTTCGTATGTCCTCTTTTCCTCACTAAATCATCAATTCGTTAGATGGGATTCGGCTTTAAGACGACTATCTGTTTGACAGTGTGTGTATAAGAGTTTTGTCAATATTCTGAATGGCCTGTACGGAATGTTGGTATAAAATCACCTTTCTTTACTATTTCAAACCAGTAATCATGTTGCATACTTACTTACGCCTGTTACCCCCAGCAGAGCATAGGCAGCCACCCAGTATTCTCCAAGCTACTCTGTCCTGCGCCTCCATTCCCGGTTCTTTCCAGTTTTTGTTCATTCTTCTCATATCTTCTTCTATTTCTCGGCGCGAGGTGTTCCTTGACCTTCCTCTTTTCCTTTGACTTTGAGGGTCTTAAGTGAAGGCTCGTCTTGTGACGCAGTTGTGTGCTTTCCTCAGTGTGCGTTCTGTTCACTTCCAGCGCTTCTCCCTAATTTCCTCCTCCACTGGAATCTGGTTTGCTATCTTCCACAGTAAGTTGTTAATGATGATTTCCATGTTCCAAGTTCCTGCCCCATACAGTAAAACTGTGTTGCTATTTGTATTGAAAATTGTGACTTTGGTGTTTGTTGATAGTTGTTTTCAGTTCCAGATGTTGTTTGATTGTAAAAATGCAGTCCTTGCTTTGCCGATCCGCTCCCTCTTATCTGCATCGGATCCACCTTGGTTGTCGATGATGCTACCCAGATATGTAAAGGTGTTAACGTCCTCCAAGGCATCTCCATGAAGAGTGACTTGGTGGCACATGTTTTGTTGTATCAAAGTTACTTAGTTATATTTAATCTCTTTTATTTCTTAATGGATGACTTTCCGGAAACAGCTCTGAAGGAAGTATATGGTGGTGATGGTGTAGATCTCTTACATAGAATAAGACTTCGCCCTTCAATATGCAGATAGCATTGATTTACTGAATGATAATATTGAAGGCTGCCCGAATCGCAGTTATACTTTGTGGCGATGAACCATTGGAAGTAGTCGAGAAGTTCATATATCTGGGTTGTTGTATGAGCCCTGATTGTGGCGTGGCAGCCTATATCAATCTGAATATAATGCAATCCACAGGAGCTTTTCCCAGTATAGGTCACCTTTGGTACACACGCATCGTTAGTTTGTCTATCAAAGTTCAAGTATTTAAAACATGGCATCTCAATGCTTAGAATTCTCAAAGGCTGTTTGATCACCGTTGTCTTTGAAGGATTTTACACATTCAGTATCATCTCCTCCCAAATAATGTTAAGCTCCCTCAAAATATTTTAGAATATAGTAACAATAATTCAATTGATATCACCCTCCTGAGGTATCAGCTTTTGTGTCTTAGATTATTTAGCGACTGTGGAAGCGTATGAAAAAGAAGTAGTTATCAGTTTATGATGTGGACCTGTAAAAACCAGCTGTATATAACTTTTATCTGTGAGTTTATCACTCCTTTTTGGTGTGCGTTTTAGCAGTGGACCAACTCACCCGGTTATTCCGTTATCGTACTATAGCTCAGAAAAAAAGCCATTAGTAATCCTGTTGCAATTTTCTACTGCGTTATTTATTTGTTTAAACACATAAATATTGGTACCAAGAGGTACCTACATATTGATGCGCCACAGTTTATTCAGTTTATGAGTTGACTGGGATACTGCTCAGCTGCCCACACAAAAGCAAGTTGTTTTCTGAGTGGGCCACTCCCCAAGCCTTTGACCCAAAAGTCTAATCCACAAAGCGTTCGCTCAACGTCACGAAATGCAATCCCATGGTAGCTAGTGACTAACAACAGGTTCGTTTGCCATTCGTCCCCTTAGGATCGTGAAGCACATGTGCGCCATCGTTTTGGAATCAAGGTTTTCCAATCCAGCTCAGGGTGTTCTGTAACCCAACAACCCGGCTAAAACATTGACCAATCGCTTTTCGTGCTCTCAGTTTTTCGAACACCTCTGATTCAAGAAGGCACTAAGTAGGTTTCCCCTAGCGGTGGCTTTTATATATGCATGGCTATATAAGAGCATTGCGAGAGCGAGACCGGACTGCCCCAACTCCTTCTGTACCAGGGCGTTCAGGAGCTAATACACAGTAAGTCGCTACTGGGGTTGAGATAAACGTTCTCACTTAAAAGTAATCTTTTTTTCATCAAATAATTTTTAGTCCAATCATTAATAGACTGTACAATATTCACCTTTTCTAACCTCTAGCTATGTGCTGCTCCTATTCTACTTCAACGTCCAGACGACACAAATGCATCCTCTTCAAGGTAAGCACAGTTTTTGTCTTGGTTGTCTCTCTTTGGAAATCTATTTACGTATTTTTTAAATTGTCTTTATTTTCTTCAGGAAAAATTTATTGTGTTTCTAATGTAGTGTTTTTTCTCAAACATTCGTTCATTTCATGTTGAATGCTTCATTGAATATGTGACGAGAACTAACTGTTAAGCTTGTTCATTTCTCTCTACATAGCTTGATTTGAATTACTATCCACTAAATTTCGTTTTGCATTGATGCAGATCAACTAGCTAGACTAGAAAACTACTGATATATATATATATATATATATAACGACCTAATCATATGGGATCAGGTGAGAAGGCCACCTTCAGAAATATCCTGAAGGTCAAGGAAATATCATTGGCCAACAAATGGAGTCATCCTTTAAGGGGATGGAATGAATATATATGGACGCGTATTTGTGCATATTATTTAGTAACCAAATAGACTTTTTCTTCCACTGTTGCCTTCTCTCTCAAGTAGTAATCAGTTTCAGGGGGATTAGCACATATCACGTTCAGATCTTGAACATCTGAACATATCATAGCAGAAATCAACTTCATTTCCTCTTTAATGAGGTTTTATAAGCTGTTATTGACAATTTTGACGCTCACTTAAAAACATGAAAACGTGAACCAAACAAGGTTACATGTTGTTTTGAGTTACACAAGTTTAAGGTGACTATTTTAAGTTATTCGCTTTGTCAAAGTCGACGCCCTTGTATTCCTTTCGGAATCACTCCTGCCATATACATGGCATGGTGTACACTATTATTCAGCTTTGAAAAATTTCGACTTTTTACTAACTCTTAATTATCTTACCATGTGTAACTGGTTGATATTAATGTTAAGTAGCGTAGTAAATTGTGAATTAAACTAAATCGTAGAACATTACAAAAATACATAAACCGCGGTTGATTTGATATGATTCATGCTTTAATTACTGTATCAATAAATTTGCTTTTTGAGTAGTTAATGATATTTTTAGTTTTCATTGAAGTTGTTGAAGTGACGGAAACTTATTCCTAGTAGACTGACAATTTTTACCAGATACCTGTTAATTAGGTATCCGGTTTCCGCCCTATCCTCTCTCTATCTTTCTTTAGGGCTTAAGAATTCCACGGTTAGTTTAAGTTCTTACCCCAACATTATGTAGGTCCACTCTAACGTATGAACTCAGTTAGTGAGTCAGCTACATCGTACAACTTCATACGAATAAGCATCAGTTCAAGTTGCCATACCACATTAGCACAAAGAAATGGAGTTGTTAGTTCAAATCCTATAGTAGTATAGGTGGTAGCAGAGTATTAGCAGTAATCAAAAAGATTAGAGATCGAAGATAGGGTTCATGAAATATATCTCAGTGAAATACATTTACAAAGAAAAAGATAAAGGTCGTGAGTAATTTAGAAGATTAGAATTTGAGAGAACACAAAGAATGGATGTATCTACGCTATTGCAAGCGATTTTGAGCCATGTCATTCAAAATCTTTAACCACCGGCTGTGATTGTCTTGCGAACCTCAACCAGGTAGTCTCCACCTATTAAAATGACTCATTCAATGACTTTATGGATTGTAGCCATATTTTAGTTTGGTCACACCTTCCTCAAGTTTACTCCTATGCCAAACAACATCGTTCGTCGAGGTAGTCAATGATTGCATATACGTAAATTATAACCTTCAATTTCATATGCGAACACTTAACTAGAATGAAATGGCCTTTTATTTTTTAGCGTATCCGTGTTTCCAATGCGCTTGTCTTGTGATTTTGATACAATATAGATTTAAAATTTATCTGTAAATTAGTACATTACTACATTATGCATCACTAAATCATAAATTTCTTTGTTCAAAGTTTTTAAAACAATTAAAATTGACACATGATTTTTATCATCAAATGTCATTTTGTATTGTTAAAATATACTGGTTAAACTAAAACAGAATCAATTTTCTAATCTATGATAATAACGTTGGAATGATAAAATCAAATATGAATGGGATTGTAGTCTCCTACCAGTTTGACTGTTCTACAAATATAACTTCATATTGATTAATACAGAAGTAGTAGGTTGTAGGAGAATTAGTGGCAGCCGAATAATTGAATGTATGTTATATCTGTGAAGTCATTGAATGCGTTTTCCGAAATTCTAATCTTAATTCCTCATCAGCTTCATCTTTCTCGTTTTCAAATCTATTTCACTGAATTATACTTCTTGAATAATATCTTCGGATCATGAACTTTCCCATTACTGCTTATACTTCTACTACCTTTGCCACTATGGGATTTGAATTGACAATTGTGTCTTTGTGTGCTAATGTGGAATGGCAACTTGAACTGATGTACGTACGTACGTATGTACGAAGTTCTACGTTGTTGTAACTGACTGACTGCCTGATGAAGTCATTGACTGTTAGACTACTTTGTGCCAGTTGTTGGTTCAAATTTCCTGTTTAGAATTAACGCTATTATCGTGACTGATATTTGAATATGTTGAGTGATATGAATCGAAATCGACTGCTTTATAGTTCACTCAGCTACATCCATTTTTCATCTCTTCTTAGACGTTGGGTTTCAAAAATTGATTTCATTGTTTCCGTGAATTTATCTCGAATTTTATATCTTTTTTAATCAGTGTTTTACATATTGAAATCATGAATCAATCATTTTTAGACCACCATTACAAACCTGGAAACTTGGGCGTTCGCGCGCAAAATCGAAGATCCTTGGTTCGAATCCTGCAAGGTGCAGGACTCGTGGATGCACACTGCTGATGAGTAGTACCATACCAGGACGAAACGGCCGTTCAGTGCTTCCAGGCTTCTGATGCTTATCTAACAATGAATGATTGATTGATCATCTCAATGTGTGAATTTTAAATCGCCTAGATCTAAATTTTTCTCCTGCTGCGTTACATTTAGAACGCGGCTATTTCTCCTGCTCATGTTATACTCACTCTGACCAATTTCATTTCATTGCGTTCATGTTGTTCATGTTTATGGATGACAGTTTGAATCAATTAGAGATATGTAGGATCCAATTACTACGTTGTTTATGTTTGACACATTGACTGTTAGAAGATATAATGATCCATTTGTAAAATTGTATGTGTATTTGTTGAGTCCATCATACTTTTTACTACTCATTGATGCCTTTTTAAATAAGATTTGTAAAAAACTACAACAAGAGCACATCGTAGATAATAGGCAGGCAGACAGATTCAAGAAATACCTACTTGTCTTATCCTATAATATTTGGTGCATAAAGATACACATAGTGAGTAATAAATAAAATATTACGAGCAAAAAGAACTTTATTCTGTACTACTTATGTGTGCGTGTGCGTGTGTACATCGTTTGGATTAACATTTTTGGCACTGTGTCTTTATTGTAGTTCCAATAGAATTATATGATTTTTTTTCAACTCTTAATATCTACATACCTATACGTACACACACGCACACACGTACATTCTGATGTGTACGCACTAAACTGCACTTTTGTTATTGAAGAAAAAGAAAGAACTACAATCTTGGGGATCGATAAAAAAGACAGTTATGTATTCCTGGTTTCTTTATTGATCAAAGTTGTCAATGAATGATAATGATGATGATGGTGTACAATGTTGTACTTATCAATCAATTAATAGCAACGTAGAACTTCGTACGTACATACATCAGTTCATGTTGCCATGCCACATTAGCCCAGAGATGTAATTGTCGATTCAAATCCCATTATAGTAAAAGTAGTATAGGTATTAACAGTAATCGGAAAGATTAGGAATAGAAGATATTATTCAAGAAGTAGAATCTAGTGAAAATATTCTTAAAAAGATAAAGTGATGAGGAATTAAGAAGTTTAAGATTTGAGGCAGTACAAAGAGTGAATACACGTGCGCCATTGCAAACGGTCTTGAGCCATGTCATTCAGGGTCTCTAACCATCGACTACACGTTCGACTACTACACTCCCTATCATTAGTTCAGGTGCCAATGCAACCCAGTCTTGAAGCAACATTTTGCATTTCGAGGGGGAAAACCGCATCCCGAACATGCTTGCATTGTTGCTTATGGTAGTCAGAAGACTCTGCATTTTGTCAGCGTCTTCACCTAATAGAACTATGTCATCGGCATATTCTAAGTCAATAAGCGATCCTCCTGGTAGAAGGTCCACCCCTGAAAAATCTGACGAGGATAATGTTAACTCCAAAAGCATGTCTACGACGAAGTTAAACAAGAATGGGGAAAGTGGACATCCCTGACGAACACCACTTGAAGTAAAGAATTCCGATAACAATTCGCCATAAGCTCTCACTCGACCTGTAGTGTTCGAAAAGAGAGCTTGTATAGGGTTAATGTACTTCTTTGGTACAGTAATAAATGTGAAAGTGAATCTGTAGTAAATCCGAACATCAGAAGTATACTAGTCATTTGTTTGCACTGTGTTGAGTTTTCCTTTTTCGAAATAATCCTCGGATTCAGAACACCACTTTAGCAGAAATGTTTTGTATTCCAACATAATGAAGCGAGTTGAATTTAGAAAAATTCTCGCCTATTTAGAATGTATACTCTTCTTCGCTTGCCCATTTTACGCTGATCGGCTAAAGATAAATTAATCAATATGGCCTTTTATTTACACAACCTATAACCTGTTTGTCATGTCAAAACGGAAATTTGAAGGGATGGTATCTCTGAGAATTAATTTAAGGACTATTACTATATTATACATTTTTATTGTATCGATGACTAAGTAACTAGATTATTATTTATGTATACATTCTATGTATCCTGAGCTTTTGATTGTATGAATCAATATTTTCACTTAGTTGTCTTGTTAGTATGTTATTCTCAGTTTCATCTATATAGACAGCTACTTTAAGCCTATTTATATATTCATTGTTACTTTTTATGTACTAGTGTGATGTAGTGAAATATGCTTTTGTGTAAACCTCTTGTATGTTTGAAATATACATGATTCGTTTCGATTAGTTTAATTTTGAGCTCAATGGAGGCAGCCAGAGAATTCCGAACCGATTGGAATGTGACTGTTTTATCTAAAGTCTATTAGCACATTATCGTATTCTGATTATTGCTGTGTCATAGACATGCTTGTAGATATAAAATTATCTTCGTCTGAACTTTCAGGAGTAGACGTTCTTCTAGGACATTCATTAGTTGGCTTAGAATATGCCGATGATATAGTTCTGCTTGGTGAAGACGCTGACCAAATGCAGAGTCTTTTGACCACCCTAAGCAACAATGCAAGCATATTCGGGATACGATTCTCTAACTCAAAATGCAAAATGTTGCTTCAGGATTGGCTTGTACCGGTACCTGAACTAATGATAGGGAGTGAAGTAGTTGAGCGTGTAGACCGCTTCACGTATCTGGGGAGTCTCATTAGTGCTGATGTTCTGGTGATTGACGAAATCTCAGCACGGTTACAGATACCTCGATTGGCCTTTGCCAACTTGCATCACTTATGTCGTAGGCGAGATATCCGTTTGCTAACCAAACGACGAATGTACTGCGCAGTAGTACGCTATGTCCTACTTTATGGCTGTTAAACGTGGCCAGTCAGAGAAGATATTCGTCGGTTACTGGATCTCGATCTTAGGTGTCTCC